GCTTCTGCCTCCGCCACCGCCGCCTGCGCTCCGGCCGTCTCGGGCTCTTCAAACTCTCGCCGGCCGGGAGAAGCCGTCCTGGGGCCCGATCTCGCTGGGAAAGTAAGTCCTTCCTTGAGCCCTTTTTTCCTTCCATACTCTCCTTCCCGGACAGCCTCCCACTCCCACCCTCAGGGGGCCGTGTGGGGCCGGGCTGGGGGGGGGGCAGCCACCTCACCCCGGCTCGGGGCCTCCCTCACTCCTCGGCGCCCCCTCGGCGGCGAGCTCCGGGGCTCTCAGGGGCAGGGTCCCGGCGGCGGCTTCGAGCACTCTTCCTCCGCCCGTCTGCGCCGGGCCCTGCGGTCGCCGCGTATGAGGCTCCCGGCCCCCGGAGCCCCGCTGTCCGGACCAGAAGCACCTTTTTGGGCCGGGCACGCTGGGTCTGCGGACGCATAATCCGGCTCCGCTTTGGTCACTGTCCTGTGTTTCCCCCGCACGACCCGGGTGCTGCGAGGTCCGACCCGCAGGGGAAGTGAGCTCCGGGAGCCTTCACAAATCGTCGTCTCTGAGGATGGCTCCCGGTGACGGGAGAGTGAGGCAGGCGATAGGGTCGTCCTGACCCTGTACCTCACACCTGCGGTTTTCTGATTACCCGGCTCTGAGGACGTGAAACACGTGGGGGCTGTCTTCACGCCTCACCCGACGGTGAGCTTAATATTGCTTAAAGCGAGCGAGCTCATCTCCTGGACCCTGCGGAAATATCTGCAGGGGATAGAGAGGTTTGGCGGACTTGCTTACTTAGGTTAGCGTGTTAGGCTTAACAAGCATCTAAAGTTCCCCAAACCAGTGTGTACTGGTGGTTTCCCAGAAGTGGTTTGGGGTCGGTTTAACCGCTGAGGAGATTGGATGTTCCTGAACCCTTGTGATTGTTTCTTTCCTGACCCTGGCATCCAGCTCCTCCCCTTTCCACCCCGGCTTTGTGCTTCTGTTTGGTTAATGTTTGCGGACTACTAACTTGATCCTCGCACAGAGAAGCTCTTTTAATGTGCGTGCCCGGTTTACTGTGGGAGGCTTTTGTTTTGGGGAGTCGTTGGTTGAGAAACGTGGGAAAAGAACGGGCGAGAAAATGAGACTCAAATAAAGCGACGTTTTTATCCATTGAATTGCGCAGCCAATTGTAACCGCACCCGGAAGTTTGTACTGAACACGTGTTGGTGAGAGAAGGTTAAAAACTGTTCCCCTTTGACCTTTGAAAGTTGATTATTAGCGGTTTATGTTGAGTTAAAAGCTTCATGTTTTCCAGACAACCAGAAATAGAGATGGAATAGGGGTTTTAAAGAGTCTGCAAGGAGGGTCCAGTAAGCTGTCAAAGTCCGAGAACGAATAAACTCCTAGAGCGAATAAACATAACACTGGGAGACACTTATCCCAGCTAACAGTGCAGAGGGATTCCAGTTTTCCCTGTTATTTACAGCAATCAACGGGTTTTCATAAACAGTGGGGAAAACCATCGGAATTGCACAAAAGATAGTTTGTACAGAATTTCTGGGATGAAATGCAGATTTTGCTACGGATTCTTTGCGTGGATCATTACTTTTGCAAGCAAGTGAACATTTTATTTTCATCTTTAAAGAACTTATTTCCACAGTTTCCCTCATTGGAGAAGACATCTTCACTTTTCCTCTGGCTTCTACTTTTTATCTCCCAGTCTATTTCATACAGTTAAGTCCAGAATTTTAAGTAAAAGTTTTACTTAAGTTGCTGGATGAGGTTAAAAAGAGAGACTAAGCTTGTGGCTAGCCATTCATTCGTTCATTCAATGAATGCTATTACACGTCAAACAATTTTATATGTATTAAGGGCTTTGCTGAAATTACTATTTTAAAATGGGCAGCGTGGAGTCTTTTTATGTTTCTTAAAAAAATGATTCATCTCAGACTTTAGGTACAGATGTGTTTTGATGTTTCTTAGTCTCTGAGTTGAGTTTTGATTGGAGACATGCGGTCTGTGAAGGATGAGAACACTTAGGCCTGGTCTTACGGAGTTACCTAACTTTGCATGGGGCTCTGTGGGTTCCCACCCTTTGCTGGCCTAAAGTTGGTGTAAAGAGACTTTCTGAGAGGAGTTATTTTTATATTAAATAGCCAGTTAATAAGCAGACCGGTACAACCCTAAAGTTTTTATTGTTTGTTTTTTATGCTAATTGATAGCTCTACTTTGATGTGAATTGAAGTCACCAAAAAAACCTGAGGACACCACTGACATTTTCTGTAGATGGATAGATAAGTGCTGGAAGAGCAGGAATTCTGTTTTTTGAATAAGACTTGGTACAAAACCCATCAAAATAACTTCCTTGTTTCTTAGGGGCAGTGTAGACTAGAGCAGTGATTTTCAACCATTTTTCCTGCACTGCATAGTAAGAAATGTGTTTTCCATTGTGGCTGTGTACATATATATCTGTATAGCTAAAAAACAAATTTCACGAAATAATATTTACCGTCTTTCCATGCTCTGTGCTGACTTTCTGTTCTATACTATAATATTTAAAATGCTGGCCATAGTAGAGTAAATTGATTTCACAACCCATGTGTGGTGAGCAGCAGTTTGGAGAACACCGGTATAGTTTTAAGAATGCAGGATCTTGGAGGGAGGTGGTGTCAAACCTCCTGGATTTGAAATTCTGTTCTACCAGTTGCTGTGTTAATCTGGTTACACATCTCTCTCAACCTCAGTTTCTCATCTGTGACATGGATTACTTTGAGGGTTAAAAGAGATACAAACGAACTGTGTAATATTTAGCGATCTGACTTTGATTTGGTGATCAAGAAAGTCCTTTTACTCCCCCCACTGAATTTCTTCTTTTGTAAAGCATTTTTGAAACATTGTGTATAGTCTGCACTTTCCTTTGTGAATCCATTTTTCTTGTCAGTTTTACAGTGAGAATGAATGGGCAGGGTACTTTCCTGAGCAATTGCTCCTTTGGGTGGTTGTTGTTAGCTGTTATTGAGTTGACCTCCAACCTGTGGTGACCCCATGCAGAAAGAAATGAAACATTACTTAGTCCTGTGTAGTCCCCATGATTGACTTCATATTGGAAGATACCGACCCATAGGGTTTTCATTGGCTGATTTTCAGAAGTAGATTGGCAGGCCTTTCTTCCTAGTCTTAGTCTGGAAGCTCTGCTGAAATCTGTTCAGCATCATAGCAACACAGCAAGCCTACACTGACAGATGGTTGGTGGCTGCACATGAGGTGCATTGGCCTGGAAATGAGTGCAGATCTCCAACATGGAAGGTGAGGATTCTACCCCTGAACCACCATTGCTTTCTTTGAGGCGTTGGTGTTGAAAAATACAGATTATATCCTTTTAGATAAAGGAAAAGTTTTAAAACTGTCTTCTCTATATAACTACCTTTTCTTCCAATGGTTGTTGATGAATTATATCAACTAAATTCTAAGTAGTGGATCCTAGCATCATTATCTTCCAAATTCTTGAAGTGTTTAGTCATCACATCTGTGCTACATAAAGGCAAAGTTGAAGCTACATCTTGAATCAGACATGCTTAGCATTGTTAAATAATGAAAAAAAAATCTTTTTTTGTTGTTGTTTTTCAGGCAAAGATACTTGCTAAGTGATAGTACCTGTGCACATTTAAAGATGTTTCCTAGTTTTCTCTTGACATGCTAACTAACTAGACAAATGGGATGTGTGGAACTTTTAGGTGAAAAGGGAACTACTATTTTATAGAGCTAATTTGCAAGTTAATTATTAAATGGATTGCCAACAAATAAAGTTTGTGTTTTGAGAAAGTGTTCCATCAGTGACATGGAAGAAAACAGGTCTTTTTGGACATAACACTAATGTTTGCTAAAGTGTTAACAATAGCTAGTTAATGAACGCCAAGTAATAGCATGTGAAAAATTTCATGAAATAATGCTGACCGTTGCTTCGTGCTTTGTACTGATTTTCTGTTCTATACTGTAATATTTAAAACGTTCACGTACATTAAATTGATTTAACAACCAATGTGTGGCGACCAGCAGTTCAAAAAACACTGATACAGTTTTAAGAGTGCAGAAGGTGGTATAAGACCTCCTGGATTTGAAATTCTGCCTCACCATAAGGTAGGTCCTATTTTTATTCCCATTTTAAGATGAGAAAACTGAGTCATAGAGGTTATTAGTTGACCATATCACATTACAGTGGGTAACCTGGCCAGTATTTCACTCCAGTTATTCTGCTTCGCTCTGTGGACTCCTCAGTGTAATGCACTACCCCCATGCAGATACATCCCTTGTATCTGCCTGCTGAGAGCATCAGATCTGCTTTAGGTCCTCTCAACAAGAGGAACCTTGTCCCTGTTGGTGTGTTTTCAGTGTTGGTACTCTCCATGGGAATGGTATCCTTTCATTCTTCTGGTTGGCCATTGTTTCTCAGCGTTCTCTCTCTGCCAAGGATAGTTCTTAGTTTGTGCTGTGTCCTTGTTTCTTATTTGTGGTAGAAGCTTAGGTAGGTGTACTGTTTTGAGATAAGTGATATTTTCCTATGTATTTATGATAAGATTTCGAACCCTTTTATTGTCCATTGTTTGAGATAGAATTGCTCTGTGGTTAGTAACTTTTGTGTTTCTTAGATTACTACATGTTAAGTGTCACCTGAGGCCTACAAACTCCTTTGTAGATACACTGTAACACAGTTTTCTTACACTTAACTTTATTTAGCATTTATATTATACCTTGTGGGTTCAAAGTGAAAATATTGTTTCCCCCTTAGAAATAAATCTTCTTTGTAAAATGATGATCAGGAGGAGATTGGTTAATACACCTATTCTCAGTTGACTATTTTGTTATCTGACACTTTGCATTTAAGACAATAGTGAAAAAATCTACTATCCGACTATTTTGCGCATTAACAATGTAAGTTTGGCAGTAACAAATGCCCTGGTGCGAGGCAAGAGTAATGCTAGCTGTGATAGTTAAGGTTACGTGTCAACTTGTCTGGGCCATGGTTCTCAGCGGTTTGGCAGTTAATCTTGTAATTTGACAGTTACGTAATGATGTAGTTATCCTTCATTTTCACATAATGCTGATTTTTGCATAGCAAACTGATCTTTGGAACCTAACCATGTGGATAAGTGAGGAGTGAGGGTATAACCTTTTAAGGGCTCCCTCAGCCTGAGCACTGAAATTCTGTGAGTCTAATAGTTTTAGAATAGGAATATGATTAACTGTTAAAGGTTTTGTCTTAAGGTGTTAGAATTTAGGATAGATACTTCCCTCTCTATCCCTTTTCCTCCTCCTCCTTGCAAAAAAGAGCAAGTAGAGATTCTGTGCCCAGTTGCCTAAAGGAGAAAAGATCCCTAGATTCCGTTTGCGTATATGATACACATACGAGTAAAGCCTCTTTTATTAATACCTTGTAAACTACAGTGTCTTTTTTTTTCTTTTTTTTAAGTATCTTTTACTATTTTTAGGTCACAGCTCAGATCAGAGGGTCTTAAATTGTGATTTCTCTGAATTTTGAGCTGGTCACTGATAGTGTTATTTTTAACTGTATGCTACTTATATGAACATCAAAAAATTCCTCCCTTCTATGATGATAGTTTTTGTACTTTTAATGCTTGTTGTTAAGAAAATATATTTCAGAAAGCGCTTATGAATTCAGTAACACCTTTCAGTGAGTTTGTGTTTCATGAACAGTGTGTTTGTACTTCTGAGTATAACTAGACAGGGTATGGTATACATATGGATTAAGGGATCCCTTGGCCTCCGAGGGCCCTGTGGTCTGTAGCTTGGGAGCCACTTTAAAACATTTGTTTCAGATGTAAATAAATCGTTTCCGATATTTACTTTAAAAAAAAAATACATTGTGGTAGTTTCTTGCATTCCATTAATCTGGGTCAGGATTTTTGTAGGAGCAGGTGGGCTAAGATCTCCTATTTCCACAGATACATTGATCCTAATGTAGTATTTCATTGTTTGAAAACATTTTTAAAGCATCGGTTTAGGTCTCTAGGTACTTACTTGTACTTGGTACTAGGATAATTTGTAAAGTGTCAACTGTGCCTATGTTAGAAAAATGAAACAACTTTATTTTAAATCCATATTGTTTGTTAAATTGCACTTTTCTGTTGTCCTTCATAGTGTTTCCATCTTGCTGTTTAATACTTTGTCCCCCTTGCCATTTACTCTTAGTCTGGTTTTTATTCTGAAGTAAAATACTGAAACTTTCATGGGTTATCAACATCGACTTTTTGATCCACTCTTTGGAAGAAGAGTGCGTGGCTTTGAGAATTTGAACTATCTGAGTTCCAGTCTCCTACCACTCTTTTTCTGGGTGACTTTGGCCAGGTAATTTAACCTTTCTGAGCTTCCGTTTCATCTCTAAGATTATAATAAACCTGTCTTCACTCATGATTGTTATGGGTTTAGATATGGGAATATATATGAAGAGCTTAACACTATGTCAGGTTTGGAAACAGTAATACTTAGACACTGTCAGTTCCCTTCATCCTTACTGCTCACATTTTTTTCTTCCTTAGACTTCTCTTCATTTCTCTGAAAAATTTTGGGAAAATCTCATTTGGGGCTTTCTATCCTTCCTACCATCCTTTAAACAGCGGTCTGCCCTTAGTTTCAGTTCTGGATGTTTCTGACTCTACTTTAAACTTATTAATGTTTCAGTTGGAACTTCTGCTTAAATGATACACAGGCCTATGTAGCATTGTCCTAGTAGAGGATTTCTCTGTTAAATGTTTTGCTTTAACCTAAAACAGTAGCTCTTATATGTTAGAAGTCTTGATCATAGTACTCTTGGCTAACACCAATTATTTTTGTAGGACACCATGAAATGCTGACGTATTTAATTTTATTGCACAGTTTAAGAACAAATGGACTGGGTGAAAGTTAGTATATCATTTATATAATTGGTTTTCTGGGAAGAACAAGTATGGTTAGAGATTTTCTATAAGTACATTTGTATATGTCAATTTGGTTGTTTCAGATAAATTAATTAGAAAGTTGAAGTTGAGAAAGCTTTGTTAAAGCTTTTTTTAACTCCCTACAAAATGGGTAAAATTTATTTTGGTAGTAGAATACCTTGATCTAGCTCCTGTGAGTATAGTTGGAAAACTCCAACCTAAAATTTGCTTGTTCCTAAATAGGCTTTTTTTTTCCTAAGCCCCCGTAGCTCATTCTTCAGGTCTCCTAGGCTCAAATTTTATTATTTGTTTTTCTCTTGGCTGAATGCTCATCAGCTCATACTTTTTCTGTGGTATGCTGCATATTCTCCTTCCCATACTAAGCTTTTGTTTAAGCCAAGTCCTATGGATTTTCCTTCCTAAATATCTTGAATCCATTCCCTCTTCTTTCCCTCTGCACCCTGCTTTTATGTCATCTCTCTCCTGGTCTGCTGGAGCAGTCTCCTAAGCTGTTTGCTCACTGTGATCTTATTCTCTCTCTGCTTAGCTTGTTTGTACACTGCTGTGTAGTAATCGTTCTAAAATCACAAATCTGACCACATCAAACAGTCCTCCATCTGAAAACCCTTTAGTGGTCCACCGTTACCCACAGGATAAGTGGACGCTAGCCTGGTGTACAAGGCTGTGGGCCCATGTCTTCCTCATTTCCTTTCAGTTTTCTGAGCCTCATACTTCTGCCGTGTTGAATTACTCTAACCATAGTTTTTGAAGAGTGCCAAATTCATTCACACTTCCATGAATTTGAATACGCTGTCCAGAAGACCCTTGTCCACCTGGTGATTTCCTCTTCGGCTCCACTGTCATCTTTGTGACCCCTGTCGCCAGGCCAGGTGCAGCATTTCCTTCTCTCTTCTCAAAACACAATAGACGTGTACTTCATCATCATCTTGCTGTGGTTTCCATCATCGTCTTGCTTTGGTTTCCATACTTGTCTGTCCTTTCTATCTTCTTGTGAGCTTCTTGGGATCAGAGACTCTCATCCTCTTTGTTTGACACACAGCAGGTTCTTAATAAACATTGAATGAATGGGTCTGGTAGAAAATGTTAATTTGCTTCTATTTAGAAGAGATCTAATATTTGTCATTTTAAGTTTTATATGTTAATATTTTGTTCTAAAGATGGTGGAGCCAGGGCAAGATTTATTGCTGGCTGCTTTGAGTGAGAGTGGAATTAGTCCAAATGACCTCTTTGATATTGATGGTGGAGATGCAGGGCTTGCAACTCCAACGCCTACCCCTCCAGTTCATCAGGTAAGAGTTTTCCACAGCCCCTGAATAAAGGAGCTTTTTTCTTAATTTGTAATTTCCACGTATAGAAATAGATACTTATTAAGCCTTAACTTTAAATATTTATATGAGTATTATTTTTATGTTGAGTATTATTTTTATGTTGAGTATTAGTCTTCGTTCATGAGGAGGAAAAATATTTGCAGTGAAAGTCAAGACATGATATTTTGCTTTGATATTGTTATGTGTGTAAAAGTAAGAGATGGGTTGTTTAGGGTTCTTATGGGAGGATAGCTAATCTCCTTAATAGCTGTCTTTGTACTTTATAGGAACATTCTTCTGTGATTTCACTATACACATTTTTTCTGAAAGCAAAAATAAGATTCTGATGTCAGCCTAGCTGTTAGTGAAGATTTTATGCTTGTAAAGATGGTTACTATATACTTGCTGTCAGCGACTTTACGTTTAGTTTGAATGTAAGGCTTGACGTTTTTTGTTTTAATAAAATTCTTGCAACTCTTTTTCTTAAAACAGAACTCACTGCCGTCATTTTTTTCTTTCTTTCTTTGCTGTTGTTTTCTCTCCAGTCAGTGCCACTTGGTGCGTTAGAACTCGGTTTGGAGACTGAAGCCGCACTTCCTGTTAAACAAGAGCCAGAAACGGTACCTACGCCAGCACTATTAAACGTTAGGGTAAGAATTAGTGAGATTTGGTATCGTTACTAACATAGTTTAGGATCGTAGTAAGAAAATAAGCTTCTGACGTGGAACAGTCTTATCTCACTAGTTCTGCTTTTTGCTACCTCTTTCCTAGTATCCTACCCTTGCCTCCTACCTTTTAAAATGTTTCTTTCACTCAAGTGATAGTATGTTGATCAAAAGATAATTAGAACAAAACAGAATGTTTTTAGTTTGTTTATTGTAAATGATAGAAAATGTATGAAATAACGATAAAATATGTATTATTCCACTACAGTTTTCATTTTTGTTCGTTGGGGGATGTGTGTGTATGTATAAGATACACGCAGATATAAAATTTTTTATAGAGAAACAGTATTTTATGTTTCAACAGTTTCAGTGATAGGTTGATTATGATTTTATAACACTGGAAATTTATGGCCATTAATAGTTTTCAGACACAGTCATGGAAGGTAATTATTTATAAGTAGAAATTTGTATGTTATGTTTATACTTACATAGTTTGTATTGCTGCAGATAGATTTGTTATTCTGGAGATTTATGATATGATTTTTTAATGTATCATAAATACGTACTTTTATGTAATAAATCAAGTAATAAATCAAATCACAGATTAATTTCTAAATCAGGATTTGAACTACTCATTTTTCAGTTGTGATGAAAATATACACACCAGAACATTATCCAATACAACAGTTTCCATATTTACAGTTCGGTGACACTGATTACAGTTTTCATATTGTCCCACGATTATCGCTGTCTTTTTCCAGAATGTTCTACCACTGTTAACATAAACTCATTGCCCCCAAACAAAAACTCCCCTGATATGTATAATTTTTATATGATTGTATTGTGCTTTAAACATAAGTACCTGTGACCTTACCTTAAACGTAGCAGTTTATTAACTTACACCTAGTGGTATAAAATTAGTGCACAAACTGGTTAAAGTTTGATAATTTGTGATATATTATTGATGAGAGTTTTATTTGAATGTGATAAATAGTAATCAAGAAGACTGTTAAAGGAGTCATGGAGAAATAAAGAGTTTGAGCAGGAAAAGAAGTAGAAATAGACTTAAATTTACAAAAATACCTGTTTTTCTTGTAGTTGCAGAGATACTGTTATCCTCAAACCTCGACATCCTTTTTTTTTGCGTTTTTGTCCAGCTTCTCCTCCACAAATAAAAAATAAATGCTATGTAGCTTAATTGCTGACATTTGTAGTTTACCTGGCTGGATCATTCGTACAACACAGCAATTTAAAACTCTACTTGGTTGTTTTTGTCTTTTTAAGTTCTAACTGGCATCACAGAGTGTTAGAAATGGAAAATGAGCTTCAGAAAGCCCAGGCTTACTGAGGTTAAGTGACCTGCCTCAGGTTATCTGGTTGAGGCAGTGCTAGGATTAGAACTGCTCTCCATTGCTAGTCCCTGTATTGTATAGGCTACCACACATCACAGTTTGCTTGGAACAGTCTCGTTATATGCTTCCTGTCTCTGATGATTATTTAAAATGTCATACCACTACTATACCTCAAGGTAGTGTGTTTTAACTTTTAACTAATTAATTATAGCTGATCATTTTTAATTAACAATGAAATGCAAATAGTTAAGCAAGGATTAAAATAAGTTTTAGATTTTTAAATGATCTGCAATGTTTATATACTCCATTAGAGAACAAAGCATTTCTCAGTGTCGTACCGTGTTTCATTTTCTTTTCTAGCAGCAGCCTCCGTCTACTACAACATTTGTGCTGAATCAGATAAATCAACTTCCAACCTTGGGGTCTACAATTGTAATGACTAAAACACCACCTGTAACAACTAATAGGCAAACCATCACGTTGACAAAGTTTATCCAGACAACTGCAAACACACGCCCTTCAGTCTCTGCACCAGCAGTTCGAAATGCCATGACCTCTGCACCTTCAAAAGACCAGGTTCAGCTGAAAGATCTGCTAAAAAATAATAGTCTGAATGAACTCATGAAACTAAAGCCACCTGCTAATATTGCTCAACCAGTTGCAACAGCAGCTAGTAAGTTTCTGTTTTCAGTAGTATCAACTGTTCTGACTTTGCTAACACCTGTCAAAGTGTGTTTTTAGGGTCGGCTTGGGTCTGAGCATAAAAGGTGTTATCTGCGTAACTCTGTGCACTTACTATTAAACAATTCAAAGGAATTAAAAATTGAGAAGACCTGGATAAAGCTGCATTAGCACCATGAAATCATCTTCGAATAACGTTTTTCTTAATTCTTTACATCAGTGCTCAAACTTTATGTGACTGTGAATCATCTGGGGATGTTGTTCAAAAGCAGAATTCAGTGGGTCTGTGGCAGGGTCTTAAGATTCTGCATTTCTAACAAGCTGTTAGGAGATGCTGATGATCCTAGGACCATATTTTAGGTACAGGCTTTAAACTGATGCTTTGTTATTTTGCCTGTGACTTTTGCAATTTTATGATTTTACCTGTCATTGATTTCATTGTTTGTGGATAGTCATCTTTTTAGTAAATTCTCTCTTAAAATATATATAGTTTTATTATAAAATACTATATTGCATAAATAACACATGCATTACATATTTTTGCCAACCGAGCAACCCCCCTTGTTATTTTATAAGGCAGCTATGTCACATATTGTATGTGGGCGCATTAAAATTTGTGAAAAATACAGTAATAATTTTCTTTGAAGAGTGAGCATCCATAATACTTCTTTTATAACAGCTTTATTGAGGTATAAGTCACATGCCATAAAACTCACTCTTTTGACAATTTATTGATTTTAGTATATTCATAGAGTTGTGCAACCATCACTACCTAATCCATAATACTTTAAGGATAGTAAGAGATTTAAAGGGAAAAAAACCCCAAGAATGATACGATACTGTTCATTCAGCAGGTATTTATTGAGTGCTTACTATGTTTCAAGCACTACCCTGGGTGCTAAGGCTATGGCTGGGAGAAAACTGCAATCTGCCCTCTTGGAACTTGCATTCTAGTGGAGAGGGACAGATAGCAAACAAATAAGTAAATTATATGGTGTGTCAGAGAGAGGTAAGTGCTCTGGGGAGAAATGACACATGGAGCAGGAAGAGGTTATAATTTTAAATGGAATGTTTAGTGGAAGCTTTGGTATTCCATGTACTAAGGTAGTTTTTGAAGGTAAAGTAGAATTAGGTTTTTGGGTTTGGTCGTTTCAAACTTTAGTAGTATAGTTCCTGTTTTAAAAACCAAAAAATGTGAACTTTGAAGTGGGATATTCTTTTTCTCTTTCCTCCATTAAGAGTCTTTGAATCCCCATTATATAACTACCATGGTGGTGGGCACTGTTGGAGGTACTAACCCTGTCCTCAGTTACAGCCTGAGCTCACCACTGTTTTATAACAGTTTTAGCTTAGTAATGGGTTTTTTTTTTTTTTTTCCTCTTCTGCCTTTGTGTATGTGAGGCATTCCTGGTGATTTATACTAGTACATACATAGCACCTATCAGTCTCTTGGGATGAGGTGATGGATATTGAATAAACGGTTTCTCCTTCCAAAATGATCCCCCTCCAAGTGTGGGAGATAAATTTTAATACCTGATATAGAACAATATATAATTCGAATACAGAACTGATTGCTTGGAAGTTGTAAATGTGCTTGTGTTTATAAAGTAGAGGGCTAGGAGCATTCTAAAGGGACGCGCACAAAGTGTTTGTGGGCTGATGTAGAACTGACTTTGTCTCCGCTGACAGATGTTATTAAAATTTCCAGATAATCTTTGGGTTCATACCATCCTGCCCTTTATGGCTGTAGTTTTATGCTCAAGGTCATTTTCCTGAACTAACTGAAGCTTGGGATCTAGATGCCAGTTGGGAAATCATTTTAGCTGTCTTAGGATACCAGTCCATTTTTGTGATTTTTATGATAACGTTTTCTGTCTGGAGAGCAGGACTGTGGCCTTGAGCTAGCTGAGGTGCAAGGCAGCATTTAGGATGGCTCCCAAGGGACTGGTGGGTGGTCAACGGTTGGGGGAAGCTGCTTTTCATTAGGGTCTTTGAACTTAATAAGGAGAAAGCCTGATGCTTTTATGTGAGTGGCTTTCCCCCTCCTCTGATTCACTTAAGCAGTTCTGCTTTGAAATTTGGATTCCAGAATTCCATTGCTGTATTTTTAAAAAGTTTGAAAACCACTGGTGTAGAAGACAACTGGGTTCATTTTTTGGATCTTTCTTCTGAGGGAAGGAGGAAAATAAGGAGTTCCCAAATGATTATTTTTTAATTCCAAAAATGAAAACTTTTTTGCCCTATAAGTTAGTAAGTACCACCAAATCAGATAAGATTGAATCTATCTTGATGATAACACTAGGTTTTGTTTTATTAACTAAACCCAGTAAAGTGTCTCGAAGTAATGCTGTTCTTTTGCTTTTGGTATTCTCATTAAAGTAAACTATCGAATAGTTCTGGTTAAGGTGTCTCTTGATAAATGGTTTTAAAATGTCCCATGCACAAATTTCTGTCTGAGTTACTTCAGTGTTTTCATCCTTAAGCTTAACATAAGGTGGTGATAGGAGGATTGGTGTTCTTTGGTTTGCGCGGTGAGTAATCTCTGAATTTAAAAAACAGCTGGAAGAAAAGAAAGATTTTGTTCTAAAATGCAAATTGATTTTACCCCCACAGCTGATGTAAGCAATGGTACAGTAAAGAAAGATTCTGCTAATAAAGAAGTAGCAAGAATATGGATAAACGATATGAAAATGAATTTTTCCTCAACTGTGGTGAGTTTCAGAAAAGCTGGGTCTAAATTTTTGTGCAGTGTGAAAGTACGCTGTCAAAAAATACAACCCTTAGAAAATTGTTTTTGCGTGGACAAGCTGCTTAGCTGCATAAACTAATGGGTAAGCAGGAAACTTCACTGAAACAAACTAATGCATACTAAGCAGATGATAGAACCAAAAAACCAAGCCTATTGCCATCGAGTCGAATCTGGCTTGCATGTTCGATAAGACCTGATTATCATACGCAATACTGACATCTTTTTGTTGCAAGTCTCAGTGATTAAGGGAAAAGAAAAAAAAACAAAGTAATGTAGGGTTAACCAAAAACATTTCATAACTCTTTATTTTAGGGTGGATCTTAAAATTTCATGGTCTAGTTATGAATAAATTACATGATGAACTAGATTTTTTTCCTTATGTTTTGGAAATGGTGTGTTCGTTTGATTGCTTCAGTATATTTATTTAATGACTTACTCTGTGTGTGATACTTTGTGTCCTGAGTTTCTACAAGTAGTATATACTGCATGGTCTTCCTTTCAGTGAACATGACATTTAACAACATCATGGATTAAGTTACATGAGGTACATCAGAAGTACAGTGTGCTGCTCATCAAAAGGATTACGAGTTTGGTAATGAGGTCTCTGTGGACCTGCATAGCCTGGGAAGACTTTATTTTAGGGAGGTGTAATGGAGCTAGGATTTTGAATATGGAGGGACTTTGAAGTGGGCATTTTGGGGAGGGAGCTGAAGCATTAATAGGCACGGAAGAGGAGGTGACTCCGTGCTTACGTGACAATAGCCAGGATACTTGGCTTGAGGGGAAAGGTTGGAATGGTAGAGTCTGACTCTGGAGGTGTTCAGAATTGAGCATGAAGGACGTTGGACTTGGTGTGGCGTCCATGAGGATTCCTGGGAGTGGAGTGACCTGTTAGAGATTCAGGATGAGTGGGGTGGCAAAACAGACAGGCTGGGGGTTAGTTAAGTAATCCAGAAGGGAAGTGGAAAGGGGCTAACCTTGGGTGCTTGCAAAGGGGATTGGAAAAGGATGAGGGGAAAGAAAAGCAGGAAATAAGAGATGAGTGTGCAAAACCATACCAAAGGCCTGCTAGGACTTGGAGCTGGAGACTGGAGTTGGTGAGCAGCAAGGCATCCTATACCTGAGGTCTGAAGTGGGGATCAGTACTGCCATTGCCCAGTGACTTCATGCTTATGTACTGAGAGTGTATTTGGTAGTTGTGTTTTTGGAAACTTGAGAATGCATTTTTTTTCAAGCAGTGTTATATATAGTGTTCACCTTCCCAGTTCAGCCCATGAAACAGTTACCTGTAGTATGCCTGAAGTTCTGTATTGTCCTAGCAGTTAAGAAACAACTGCCAGAAGTTGCCAGCTGGCAGCCTGTGAGCCAAAACCAGGTGATGGATGTGTTTTGTTTGACCTACATAGTACTTTGAAAAGTTTTGTATTTGTTGCTAATGTGTAAAAATCCTGATTTCCATGTTCTCTTAAACAGGAGTACCCGAAAACCCTGGGCGCACATTCCCCACCTGATAAAACTTGCCTAGAATTGAGTAGTGACTGTTTAACTTGAAGTTCTGGCCTGCGATCCCATTTACCACAGCCCCTCACCCCCAGCATCTCCTGGACCTTAAGGATTGGTGTCATTGGCCGTTTTACATCAGCTGACTTTTCTGATTTAGAAATATTACCTGTGTGGTTTCTAGATTGTGGGACGCTTCACTATTACCAATTTAGCCTCCAGTTGTACCGCTGCTGACTTTTCTTTAGTGTGGGAAGGGGAAGAAAGGGTAGAGGGAGAAAGAAGGAGCGTAGTTATTTTAGTAGAGCGTTCCTATTTATAAGTGAGGGAAAGGAGGGAAGGTGGGAGTGGTGGACTGATAATTCAGGTCCTCTACCCAAGGCTGCACACAGCTAAGCAGTGGCCAAATGGGGATTCAGATCTGTTTCTTCCGCCAGTCCTATTTTGTCACCAGTTTCTGAAGTTGGGGTCTCATTTTGGCTTCATTTGGAGAACATACTGAGTTTTTTCCCTGAGGACATTGTGGGTTGATGTGGATTGGAGGTTTATCCCTCCACGTCCCTTTTCTTTTCCACGTTTACTGAGCATCTCTGTGCGTCCTATTCTGTTCTCAACTCTGAGGTCAGTAAAAGGAAAGGTGAGCCTGCACTCACTGTCCAACACCATCTTCTGTAGGCTTTCTCCTTCCTTCCTTGGTGTACTGAGTTTCATCGCTGCTTCCGTAGACTCTTCATGAACAAGACCATGGTAATCAAGAGCTTTTCTAATGGGTCTGCTGGTGGTGAAAACAGGCCCATTCAAGATCTTCTCTCACTTTTTAAATGTTATTTCACCCTACTATAAAGTGTGACCCTTTCAAGAGTCCATAGAGGAACACAAGGCTGCATACGGATATAATGATCTTTCACCCGGTTTGCCTCGGACAGTCTGGGTTTCCTCCTGTTTTTTTGGTGAAATTATTAATAATTCTGAATTTTACTCTGAAATGCGCAGAGGTTGGGAGAATAAATTACATGATTATCTTATATATGATTGTTGGAGTTGTGTCTGTGAAAACACGGAAGTCTGAAGTACATCCTCTGTCCCTCAGAAGAACCCTTAAACTCCAGTCTCCTGGGGTGTGGGTTTTAGGATTTAAGGGAAAGAAGACAGATGGGGAGGCGAACTGAGAGGAGGGAAGAGATGGGAGACTTAAATGGCATTCTGCCAATGAACCTGTATTATAGGGTGTGCTGAGGAGGCTAACCTACCTTTTCTCCTCACACCTCTTGATTTCTGTAGTCCTGGGGACTGAGGTCGAGAGAGTTCTGGGTATCAGGGAGGGCGGTAGGCAGTATCGAAGGGGAAAGTAGTTGGAGATGGTGGTGGCTGGAAGGAAGGTGGGGCCCTGTGGTGACCTGTTTGTGCATCAGAGATGAGAGTGACTCATGGATCCCCTGTGCTCGCCATGGACAGAGGAGGGCCACACATGTGACCTAGATCTTAGGGGATATTGAGGTAGTATAGCATGCTTCCTAGACTCAAGATAGTGGGTGTTCCTACGTAAGTTTTCCTGGGTTTTGATTGGACCTGTGGTCTCTGGATTTTGGATTGATCATGCTCTTTCTGTTTTGTAGAAGGTCCCTGTTGGGAAAGAGGAAGATGAACCAGAGGAAGAAGACGAAGAAGAAATGGGTCATGCAGAAACCTATGCAGAGTATATGCCAATAAAATGTATGTCTTTGGAATTTATCAAAATAGTGAAAGACTTGAGTTCCTCTTGAACGTAAATAACTCTGCCCTACAGACTATTATGTATTAGGACCTGTCAGTGTTGGGTACCTCAGGATTTAACAAGTATGAATTCTGTATATTTTTAAACTAATAGGTTTTGAAGTATTTATGTGGAAGTTTTACTGTGTTTTCTTTTTTCCTGTGCAAGTTTAGAACTTTGTTGTAAGTTGAAGTCTTTTAAAACTGAGACTAAAACAGCTTAGATTGTTCGGTTTCGAGTTAATTTTGCTCACATGAGAAATGATTATAAAATCGTAGCAAGTTGTAGAAATGTAAATGAGTATGTATCTATTTTAAAATTTTTTTTATTGTACTTTAGATGAAGGTTTACAGAACAAATAGTTTTTCATTGAACAGTCAATACACATTGTTTTATGACATTGGTTAACAGCCCCACGACATGTCAACACTCTCCCTTCTCAAGCTTGCGGAGTTTTTTTTGGTGAAGATATTCATAGCCAAAGTTACACCATTTTGAAAGTTTCTATATGTACAATTCAGTGACATTGATTACATTCTTTCAGTTGTGCTGCTATTCTCACTGTCCTTTTCCAAATTATTCCATCACCATTATCTTCGACTCACTGTCCCCTAGGCTTCCTATCAAATCTTTTGAGTTACTGTTGTCAATTTGATCTCACATAAATATATTTTTTTTTTTTGTACCTTAGATGAAGGTTTGCAGAGCAAATACTTTCTCATTAAACACCTAGTACACATATTGCCTCATGTCAACACTGTCCCTTCTCAACCTTGAGTTCCCTATCACCAGCTTTCCTGTCCCCTTCAGCCTTCTAGTCCTTGTCTCTGATGAATATGTATCTTAACTTTGTGTACTTTATACAGCTTATCTAAGATTAGTAAAACATTGGAATCTTAAAATAACTTGTTCTTTTTCAGTTCAGTATTTTGCATTATTTCTGCCTTTCACATAAGCAGTATGATTTGTTATTTTTAGTGGCCACCATATAGAGTTGAAAATCAATAGTTTTTAGTTTTAGTATAAAAATTTTCACTTTTTCTTTATATGGGAGCATTAAGATTAAATAAATCTACATCTAGAGTTTGTCTTTTATATACGTTAGGTTTCTATAAGAAGACACCAATAGAAAGTAGCATTTAAATTATACTAAAATTTCTGTTTGCCAACTATGTATGGACCTCAAGAACCCATACTTTCCTTGTCATTTAGAATGAACTTCAGGTTGTGGTATTTGAAATTTTATGCTCCTTCCCCCGCAGTGATCATGTTCACAAAATGATTGAGTTTATCCTTGGCCCTTTAAACCAAAGGTCAGCAAGGTAAATCCAGCCCAGTGCTCATTTTGTAAATAAAGTTTTATTGGCACACAGCCACGCCCATTTGTTTAGTGTCTGTGGCTGCATTTGCACTACAGCAGTGGTTATGAGAGAGACTGGATGGCCCGCAGAAGAGAAAATATTTACTGTCTGACTCTTTATAGAAAAATTTGCTGATCCATTTTCAACTATTCACATTATAAAATACAGGGAGTTAGTTGCTGTTTAATTTTATAGCCAAGGTTTTCTTTCAAATACCTTTCAAGGTAAAATTATTTATATTGCATACTTTTGTTTCACTGCATGATTCATTCAGGTAAGTCCTTTGTCTAGGATTATGATCTATTGGAGAAACTGGTGATATGAACTAAGTTCTTTTTGCAGATCTTTTTAAATCAGCAAGTCTATTTAAACCGTATATAGGTTATAATTAGATCATCTGAGTCAAATTTAAGCAATACTTTATCATCAGTGATTTTTTATAGCAGCCCAGAGTATATAGTATTTGCTTACTATATTTTTTCTGTCATAGGAAAAATATTGTAGTATTTTATAAGAAAACTGGCAAAGGTTATTATTTAGAATAATTAACACTAAATACTTTCTATTTTCATTTAGTAAAAATTGGCCTACGTCACCCAGATGCTGTAGTGGAAACTAGCTCTTTATCCAGTGTTACTCCTCCTGATGTATGGTACAAAACATCCATTTCTGAAGAAACCATTGATAATGGCTGGTTATCAGCATTACAACTTGAAGCAATTACTTATGCAGCCCAGGTAAGCAAAAATATTTTATACCTACATACAGTCTGAGTCCATACAATATAATCGTTTTAATCCATAGGTGAGTTTTCTTTGCATGAGAAACTTGTGAAATGTAAGTTTTATATATTAGAAAATAAAGAGAATAGCATAGTTTTGAGGAATGCGTTTCTAGTAAAATCATAAATGTCATAACCTTTTTGGAATTCACTGGGAATATCTATTAAAGTTAAAAATACATTCTTTGACTAAAAGCTAAAAACGATTTGAATGCTCACGCCATTGGGGAGTTGGTCCAATATATTGTGCTATTCCTGTAATGTCGTGCAGTCTTTTAAAATAATGTGAGTTAGAGTTATGCCAGGTGTCTTGAAAGGATTTCTATGATACTCTTACTTTTGTAAAACAATTAATGACTGACCAGCCAACCACCCCCCATATTTATGTGATGTGAAAGTTTGTATTTGGCCTGGTGAAAACTGAAATGTACACTTAAGAGTGGTTGTTGTTCTGCCCAAGGACTCAACAGATAGTCCTGGATAGAATGGGAGAAAAATGTAGAATAAAACTCAAATTCCTGGGGAAAAAAAGAAAGTCCAGACGTAGTGGACCGATAGAGACTAGATGAACCCCTGAGACTGTAGCTCTAAGATGCTCTCTAAACTTGGAACTTGAACCATTCCCAGAAGTCACCTTTCAGCCAAATGACAGATTAGCCCATAAAATAAATAATACTTCTCGTGAGTACTGTGGTCAAAATAATTGTCTAGATGAAACCAAATGCTTAACATTTACCCTAGGCCAAAGATGAGAAGGCTAGGGGGAACAAAGAAGTTAGTTTAATGGGAACAAAACAACCGAAACAGAAATAATGACAGCGCTGATGTATTGTGAAGAATGTAACTAGTGTCCCTGAGAAATACGGATGGAAACTGTTAAATGAGAACCTAATTTCCTGTGTTAACTTTCACCAAAAACACGGTAAAATACTTTTTAAAATAAATAAAAAGAATGCTTGGAGGTAAGGCCTAACCAGTTCCCTTTGAGTTGGGGGTGGCAGGGAAGAAGTGCTTGAAATGGCAAATCACTTGTGTATTTTACCACAATTTAAAAAAAAAAAAAAAACTTATTTGATTATGCAAGTGCCAAAAAGGGTATGGAAGAGGTCTCATCAGTTTGCTACTTCAGTTACCTGGGGTGTGTTGAGGTGAGGTGAGCAAGAAAGAATATGTAGAAAAGATACAGAACATATCTACACTAACAGCCAAACTATATGCCCATAAATGTAAAGATAAATAATGTTAAAGTATTCCTAAAACTGTATGAAAGGCTGATCACCAAACTATCTGAAAGACTAAATACCAGTTTTTCTTTTTCAGCAACATGAAACATTCCTACCTAATGGAGATCGTGCTGGCTTCTTAATAGGTGATGGTGCTGGTGTAGGAAAAGGGAGGACGATTGCAGGAATCATTTATGAGAATTACTTGTTGAGTAGAAAAAGAGCGCTGTGGTAAGTGTTAGAGACTGGCTGTGGAAGCTTTCATTTGTAAATGGTCACTTCCGCATGTGGGGATGGGTTTTAATGAGTTGGTGAGTTTTTTTGAAGTGTCGAGTTTGGCTTTATTTATTTCCAAATTCTGCTAGAATGATGGAATTCACATTTAATTGTTGGTGTTGCTATTATTTACTATTATTATTTTTTTGCGGCAGGTTCAGTGTTTCAAATGATTTGAAGTATGATGCTGAAAGAGATTTGAGGGATATTGGAGCAAAAAACATTTTGGTCCATTCGTTAAATAAGGTATGGAAACTTGCTCTTCAATTGGTCATTCAGTAAATATTGACCTCATCTGTGAGACAGAAGTAGTAGTAGTTTCTACCTCGTAGGGTTGTTATGAGTGAACATTAAATGAGTTTTTCCACAGAAAGCAGAGTAAGTTATTGTTGGTGTGCGGATTTACCATGGCCAACTACAGTACCAGGCAGTGCTTATGTAAGGACACACAAAATCAGCATGGTCCCTATGGTTATGGAGTTTATCCTCTCCATCTTCAGCTTTGTTTTTGCCTGTGAAGTAATTTCCTGTGGGTAAAACTCTTTGTTAAATTGAGCCTTGTGGGTGAAAAGGTGTGTGTAATAAAGCTGTGTGGACAGGTCATGTGCCTCTCGGTGAAGGTCACCTGGAGTCCTGTGCAGCATATAGAGAATTGGGTTGTGATTTGGAGACCGGTTTAGGTATTTCTGTGTACCGTGGACTTGGACCAGTGCTTGGGTGTTAAAATGATCTGTAAAGTGGAAGTAAATGCATCTCAGTGTCTAAAGCCCAGTTTAATGTGATTAGAATCTTAATGTTCACTTGGCAAGTGTTTATTGACCCATTAGGCACCCATTCCTGGGGTGGTAAGGGTAGAATAATCCCTGCAGGCACCTCCCCACGGGCCTCTTCACAGTAAGTGTAAATCTGCTTCCCACGTGGAACCTCGGTTGGTTCAGTTTGCCAGACTCTTCTGTGGCTTTTTGAGGAGGTACTACTAAGTGGATTGGTAGTTACAGTACGTGTTTTAAATGATTACAAACAGTTCAAAATTAACAACATGTAACTGGCATCTAAAAATGTTTTGATTTCTGAACTGGTGTAATTGAAGAAGGGCGCATCATTTATAAATCGTAAGCCTTCTGTATCTCTCAGAGTTAAATTACAGAACTCTGCATAGTGAGGTGCCCAGTAAATGTTTGTAGATAGAATATTGTCTCTTTATTTTTTTATAGCCGAGTTTCTTTCTGGTTTTTAATCATTTTTGGGTTATAGACTCTGGAGATGTTGATGAAAATTGGACCCTTGTACCATGTGCTTGCATCTACATCTATATGTAAGAAATGTTCCATATGATTTCAGGAGTTCTCTGAGCCCATCATGGATGGGCCAGGTAGAGAATTCTTGCTATAGAGGTTCTCCTGCTGTGGTAGAGATGTTTCAGAACGAAAGGAAAGCCGTGTGCATTGAATTCTTCTGTTTTTCTTTTTCAGTTTAAATACGGAAAAATTTCCTCCAAACATAATGGAAGTGTGAAAAAAGGTGTTATTTTTGCTACCTATTCTTCCCTTATTGGAGAAAGTCAGTCTGGCGGTAAATACAAAACTAGATTAAAACAACTTCTACATTGGTGTGGTGATGACTTTGATGGAGTGGTATCCTTTGCAACAATGTTTTTGTATTTCTTAATGATAAGTTATGTAAGGATAAACACTTGGAAAGCAGAAATCCTGAAATTAAACAGATTCCTGGGATGAGAGTTTTAATGATACAGAGATTCCAAGGGGGTGGGAAGGTTGATTGTATATTGTAGTTTTCATTCAAAAACCGAACATGTTGCCATCGAGTCGATTCAACTCGTAACAGATTGCCCCATAGGGTTTCCAAGGCTGTAATCTTTACCAAAGCAGACTGCCACATCTTTCTCCCGCAGAGCAACTGGTGGGTTCCAGCTCTTGACCTTTCAGTTCACAGCCGAGCACTTAACCACTGTGCTACCAGGGCTCCTTAGTGACCCTATCCCTATTCTGAAAACCTGTTGCCATTGAATCGATTCCAACTCATAGTGACCCTATAGGGCAGGGTAGAACTGTCCCATAGGGTTTCCAAGGAGCAGCTGGTGGATTCAAACTGCAGATCTTTTGGTTAGCAGCCGAACTGTTAACCACTGCAACACCAGGGCTCCAACAACCTCATAGGAGGTCAGTATTTAAGTTCGTGGTTTAAGAAAATGTTAATAGGTATGGAAAATGCTGAATACTATATTCCTATCTTGAGGATTCACCCTGCACAATTTTCATAGTAAAATACTTAAGAAGACTGAGAGAAAGAAAACTGCTGACTGAGCAGCTCCCAGACTTACTGCTCAGAAATAAACTCACAGCATAGTTTATTATCCTGGGCAAGGAACACCAATATTTTTTTTTTTTGGTCATCTATAACACTGATATTTTTATGCCACTTCTACAGGATTTGCCAAAATTACCTTCTTTGGTGGACAGTTCATGGGGCAGTGGATCGGGCCCTTTCCTCTGTTCCAACTAAATATTAATTAAAATATTAAATTAATAATTTAAATATTTAATATTTAAATATCTGGCTAAGATACGTATCAAATTCAGTGGCTACTCTGAGGCAAGAAAAAAAGGGGAGGGGGAGGAGGTCAAGGAGAGGCACTCAGAGGATTGTAAGCTTAAAGAAAAGAAAGAACCTGAACCAAATATGGCAGAATGTTATGGTTTGACAAAGTTGGGTGATGGTGATGTGGATGTTATTTTAACAAGCTGATGCTCAGGGATTTATTATCAGCTGCACCCCTCCCCCAAATCTTGGATGTTCCCTCAAGGCCACCTCTCCACAAACCTTGGATGTTTTCAAGGCCTCTTCTAGTAAGATTGGAGACACTTGTTACAAATGTGACACGTTCCTTAATTCATTCCTTACAGATAGTGTTTGATGAATGTCATAAAGCAAAAAACTTATGTCCTGTTGGTTCTTCAAAGCCAACTAAGACAGGCTTAGCAGTTCTAGAGCTTCAGAACAAGTTGCCAAAAGCCAGAGTTGTTTACGCTAGTGCCACCGGTGAGTATTTATTTATTTAATACAGACATTTGAAGGTTATTTTTTCAGCCATAACAGGTTTCATTTTGGGGTTTTTCAGGTGCTTCTGAGCCACGCAACATGGCCTATATGAACCGTCTTGGAATATGGGGTGAGGGAACTCCGTTTAGAGAGTTCAGTGATTTTATCCAAGCGGTCGAGCGGAGGTAATGCAGTTCTCAGTTCACACTGTTTATTCTCAGCAGCAATCTAAAAGATGCTGTTGCTAAATCCCCTTCACTGTATGTTAAAGTCCCACTATATTTAATGATAGTTACTGTGTGTTTTAATTTTATTCAGAGGTGTTGGTGCCATGGAGATAGTTGCTATGGATATGAAGCTTAGAGGGATGTACATTGCTCGACAGCTGAGCTTTACTGGAGTGACCTTCAAAATTGAGGAAGTTCTTCTTTCTCAGAGCTATGTAAAAATGTATAACAAAGCAGTCAAGCTGGTGAGAATGTTTTTCTTAATTCCTAGTGTTTTTAATGCACCTAGTCGTATCTGTTAGTCAGTTTTCTCCAACGTGATGTCTGTGAGTCCTCCAGGAATATATTTCTGCCCATAAAACAACCGATCATTTACCAGATGATAGGCTTTTGAACCAGTGTCCTTATTTTGAATACAGCTTTCTGAGTTTTAATTTTGTTAAAGCAGTTAATAAAAAATAGGCCTTGAGTTTAGACTAATAAGGGAGGGACAACTCAGAAAAGGAGGGTGAGAACGGTTGTACAACTCGAAGAATGTAGTCAGTGTCACTAAATTGTACATGTAGAAACTGTTGAATTGATGTATGTTTTGCTGTTTATATTCTCAACAGCAACAACAAAATAAAATTTAGGGCAAAAAAATTCTGCAGCAGGTTGAATTTGTTTTTAAAAGGCAGCCCTTATTTTCATTATATGGGACACAAGTTTAACAAACACTGAAGTAAACCCTAGGGGGGATGATAGCCATTTATTTCAGCTGTGTAGTTCTAAAAATCACAGTGGAGCTATATTTCTTAAAAAGGTTAAATTAATTCATCAGAATTCTGACACAGTAAATACTGTTAGGCACACCTTCCAAAAACCAGGTGTTTAGAGATTACCAAGTTACTGAAGATGCTTCGTTAAATTAATGTTAAAGGGTACTGCACTTTACATTATTTTGGTTGAATTATTCGTTTTGTAGTATCTCCCACTCAAAGATGAAATACGTAAAGTGTCGATTTTGCCTCTTCAGTGGGTGATTGCCAGAGAGCGATTTCAGCAAGCCGCAGAACTGATTGACGCCGAACAGCGAATGAAGAAATCCATGTGGGGCCAGTTCTGGTCTGCGCACCAGAGATTTTTCAAATACTTGTGCATAGCATCCAAAGTTAAAAGGGTTGTGCAACTAGCTCGAGAGGAGATCAAGAATGGAAAAGTAAGTTATTGGAGAGTGCGTTAACAGTCATTCTTCAGTTACATTGTTTATTCTTTGTGGGTATTGAGGTTTTCTACTTGGAAAGTCTGGTCATCCTAAAGGATAGCTGTAAAGGTACTAATGTAATAAGACTAAAAAATACGAATTTTAAGATGGTGCAAGCAAAGCCTGTTTATTTGTAGAGAATTTAGATAACTCAAAGTATGAAAAAATAAACATCACTGTGATTTGACCATCCATAGATAAAGCCACTGATGGATATGGGAGTATACTGCACTAAGCTTTTTTTCATTTTGGTGAACATAAGCTACTTAAAACACAAAGGACTGTCAACTCCATAAGGCTTCAGTCTTGTTCACTGCTGTAATCCCTTTTCCTAGCTCAGCTCTTGATGTTTAGCAAGTCTCAATGTTTGTAGGGCAAATAAATGAGCACATACATGCTTTACAGTAACTGGGTCATTCTTGTCTGAAATCTGTTGGTCTTTTTTATTTTACTTTGTTTTTTTTACACTAAATAGAGTAGTCTCGATAAGAAACTCTAAGCGCATTTTATTTATAACTAATATCTTTTCTCATTTTCTCCAGTGTGTGGTAATTGGCCTGCAGTCTACAGGAGAAGCTAGGACTTTAGAAGCCTTGGAAGAGGGCGGGGGAGAGCTGAATGATTTTGTTTCAACTGCCAAGTAATGTGTTTTGGTTTTCTTTTTCAGATTTTACTTAGATTAATTCAAATGTTGACACTGTCTGGAGGCAGCTTTTTCGATTTGGCCTAAATGACCTGTAAAAGTGGTCCTGATCTTTGTTTTTACACTCTTAGGCTTTCCCATGTGCGTTTCCTTTGGTTGGAAACAGTAACAGAGAAATCTCACAGTCCTCAGTTGTTAGGCACTTGGACTAATGGAAGGGCCTGATTTTCGTTGTCTTGTACACCTTAGGTATCTGTGACGTATTGTGTTAGTTTCAGTGGATCACACAGGTTTGTGATGTAATGCTGCTTTTGAAATTGTCATTATCCAGAGGAGCAAAAACTAGTTTGCCCCCGTCGTGTTGTAGTTGGGTGCTGTTGAGTCGATTTTCAACTCATAAAGCAAACTCATGTGACAGAATAGAACTGCTCCTTAGGGTTTTCTAGGCTGTAATCTTTACAGGAGCAGATTGCTAGGTCTTCCCGTCCTGTGGAGCTGCTGGCTGGGTTCAAACTGCCAGCCCTTGGTTACAGTAGCCGAGCATTTACTATTACACTGTGCCACCAGGGCTGCTTGCCCCAGTCATGAAGTCTGATATAAAACTTGGAAATAGTCTTGAGATACTGTAAAAGAGTTTTTAAAAAGTGTTTTAGGCAGTTTTTTTCTTCTTCACATGTTTGCCCAACCTGTCAATTCCAACTCTGGTAGTAAGGTTAGCAAAATAACCTTTGCCTCCATACCATGTCATGCCTCAGGGCATGCATTCAGATGGCTCCTTTTCAGGTGGGTATAATTGAAAACTGCTTTGAAAAGGGAAACATGCACCTGCTGACCTGTATTGCTCCGTGCTTACATGCCTAGAAGTGCGCCGCCCAGTATGATAGCCGCTAGTCACGTGTGTCTGTTGACGAGTTGAAATGGCGAGTCCAAATTGAGGTGTGCTGGGAGTGTAAAATACATTCCAGGTTTCAAAGACTTCATTCGAAAAAAACAACATAAAACAGCTCTTTGATTACATGTTGAAATGACACTGAGGTAGATAAAATATATTATTAAAATTAGGTTCACTTGTTTCTTTTTACTTTTTTACGTAACTGCTACAAAATGTAAAAAGTGTACATGTGGTTTACATTATATTTTTACTGGACAAGCTTGGCCTAAAAAAATAAAATTCACTTTGTAAGATTGATCAGAGTATTTAACATGACACCCCTAGTTTATTTTTAAGACATATATTCATTAAGACGTTACAATAAATTATTCTGCATACAAGACCACTAACTGTCAATGTTTCTCTCCTGCCAACAGAGGAGTGTTACAGTCACTCATTGAGAAGCACTTCCCTGCTCCAGACAGGAAAAAACTTTATAGTTTGCTAGGAATAGATTTGACAGCTCCAAGTAACAACAGTTCACCAAGAGACAGTCCTTGTAAAGAAAATAAAATAAAGAAGCGGAAAGGTGGGTAATTTTCTTTAAATAGTTAATATTAAAATCACTATAAATTTGAGCATTTTTCAACAACTGTATTTGGGGAATGAACTGCCCTCCTTGAATTGCAAGTGGTCTTGAGTATTTTTACTGTCGTAATTTTGGATGCACAAGTAAACCCATTTAAATTAGGGCTTGAGTGGTTGGTGCTAGGCACTGCATTAGGCACTTGGCATGTGTGGTATCATTTAACCTACCAGAGATCCGTATGAAATTAGGTCTTCTTTTTCCAGTTACATAGACAGGGGAAACTGTGGCCCAGAAAAGAGGTTAAGGAATTTGCCACGGTTCACACAGCTAATGAATGATGCGTGGGAACTAAAATCCACGTCCTTCTGTTTTCAGAACTGCCCTTTAATGTATGCAGAATGGGATGTTGTTACAATGTTCTTCAAAGAGGCTTCTGTTGGTACATTATTTAACTAACTTATTAGGAATACATTAATCAGCCGTGTCTGTTAGACAATTTATAAAATGCAAACCTGGATTCGTATTTAGATGCCTACTGAGCTGATGTTCAGAAGTTATTTAGCTTTTCTTAGACTCTCTTTCTTTGAAACGCTGATATTAGATTGCCAAATTAACTGTACTGCTGTGTATGAAGTTTTAAACACAGTGCCTCATCTTATCCTTTCTAAGTAAGATGTACACGTTTTCACATTGTTAATATATCTAAAATGGGTTGGCTATCATAGTTCAATTAGCAGTATTTTTTTATTTTAGTGGTACAAAAAGTAATGTGTCGTAGAATCGATGTCATCTTAGAATGGTCAAATGGTTACATTTCCCTCTTGAAATATATTCTCACTTTCTCGTTAATACATGAATTTTTTTATGCTTGTCTTGGTTTTGATTGGTTCATTCCATATATCATTTCTGAATATTAAGTAAGATTATTCAAATCAGCACCTTGTTTGGTGTTTAAAAATGAGGGTTTATGAATTGACTTTCTAAGTATTCTACGTCTGTGTTGTTGTTGGGTGCTGTCAGATTGATTCTGACTCAGCGACTCTAAAGGGCAGTAGAACTGCCCCATAGAGCTTCCTAGGCTGTAATCGTTATGTGTATAAATGTATAGTTATTAGATCTGTCCTCATAGCCTGATACACAGTTATTGGATTATTAGTATGCCAGAGATTCTGTTACAACTCTTATGCCCTTGGATTTATTTTAAGGCTTATGCACTTGAAGTTAGTCTTGCATTTGTACTTACGTATCTAATTTCTTAGGAATAATTGAACATAACCTGATTTCTCATGTGCGTCCAAAAGGTCGGCCCTAGTTTGTGAATTTTGTTTGTTCCTATATACTTAGTAAATGCTTTTCTTCTGCACTTCCCATTTTGAATTAACTCAAGAACTAAACGTGATGTCCTGTATCTTTAGAAATTGTGTTTGGGCTGACTCTCTTTCTTGGGTCATGGTGACAGGTGAAGAAATAACTCGAGAAGCCAAGAAAGCACGAAAAGTAGGTGGCCTTACTGGCAGCAGTTCTGATGATAGTGGCAGTGACTCTGATGCCTCTGATAATGAAGAGAGTGACTATGAGAGCTCTAAGAACATGAGTTCTGGAGATGACGACGATTTCAACCCCTTTAGGGATGAGTCTAGTGAGGATGACGAGGATGGTGAGTTCATCCGACTGTTAAATCCAAATTAAAGGGTAGTCATATTTCACTGGGTTTGAAAATGGGATATTGCACTAAGGTGTTTTTCAGTGCAGTACAAATGATCATGGAGATTCTGATCTTTGCTTGGTGGCGAGCTCCAAGCTTGTCTGTCTTCTGGAGGTTTGACTCACGTATTTGAGATGATGGCCTTAGTCTTGTGCAGTTGTTTCTAACTTCCAAGTCGTGGACGTGGTACCCCGTGAGCTGCCGATGTGCTGGACCACTGTAGTTGGTGATGACCCACACATCATCAGTCAGCGTTACAAAAAAGTCAAAGCTTGTTTCCTTTGAAGATTCTGTACTTGTTTAACAAACGGCTTATTTGGCACACATTTCACCGTCATTTTCAGATCCCTGGTTAATCAGAAAAGACCACAAGAAAAACAAAGACAAAAAAAAGAAGAAAAGCATAGATCCAGATTCTATTCAAAGTGCCTTATTAGCATCAGGTCTTGGATCAAAACGACCTAGTTTTTCCTCCGCACCAGTTATTTCACCTGCTCCTAACAGCGCATCAGGTATCGATACGGAAGCTTGCGTTGTCTGTGAACTGTACTTTTAAACAAAACAAATATTTAAACTTCGTACTGATTTAACAAATGTACTTCACCTAGCTAACAGCAACACCAACAGTAACAGCCTTATAACAAGTCAGGATGCTGTGGAAAGGGCCCAGCAGATGAAGAAAGACCTACTCGATAAACTGGAAAAATTAGCAGAAGACCTCCCTCCTAACACCCTGGATGAACTTATCGATGAACTTGGTGGCCCTGAGAATGTTGCTGAGGTAAATAAGGCTTGAGTCAGGGCTCTGTCTGTCCTTGACAATGTTTTCGTTGTCACTTTTCAGCCCTGTAGGGTTGATTGGCATCTCAGGTATTATCACGTAGTAATCTCTTCTATCCAATTCCCTCTCTTAGATCTAGACCCTTGTTTTTCTGTAGTTCCCCTGTTGTTTGTGAGTGCCATCGAGTCAATTCTGACTCATAGCAATTCCATGTGATGCAGTAGAACTGCCCCATAGGGTTTCCTAGGCTGTAATCTTTATGGGGGCAGATGGCCAGGTCTTTTCTCCTGTGGTGTGGCTGGTGAGTTTGAACTGCCACCCTTTCAGTTAGCAGTCAAACACTTCAGTACTGTAATGCCAGGGCTCCTTGGTTGTTCTCCTAGAGCCAATGAATTCCTGTCCCTTCTCTCCTCTTATCCCCTCCCTATCTGAGTGTCAACCCTGAGCCCCTGATCTCTGTTACTGCTACCTGTTGTGCAGTAGTTGTGATCGTTGGTCTGCCTGTCTGCTTTGTCCACTGGAATTTGAACTCTTTTCGCAGTCAGGGACTGTCTTGGCAATCGTCTGTATCCCACAGTGCCTGGCGCAGCCTAGGCACTCAGCAAACACTTCATTAGCCCCATTGGTCTCCCACCAAGTGTCTTTAACAAAGTTATCAGTGGACTTCACGCACCATCATCAGACAGTCTGACTGTACATGACACTGTTTGGCTTTGCAGATGACTGGCCGAAAGGGGCGGGTTGTAAGTAACGATGATGGAAGTATATCTTACGAGTCAAGATCTGAACTTGATGTGCCTGTAGAAATACTAAATATCACAGAAAAACAAAGGTTTATGGATGGAGATAAGGTATGTTTTGCGGGGGGTGGGTGCTTTTCGGTGAAAATAACCCGTTCATTTAGATTAAGCTTTAGAAGGTTTCTTCTTTTAGTAAGGTCATGTCTGCTGAATGTTGTTATTCTACTTTGTTTTAGTAATTGCACATACTCTCTGAACATTTTATGCATTTCCATGACTATAAATTGAATTTAATAGCGTTTTGTATTGTGCACAGAATTATATTTGGCTCTTGCTAGCTTTGGAGGCTTTAATAATCTTTTAGTCAGAATACAGTGAAACCTGTGAGAGCTGGAACTTGACAGAACTACCTTGTTCTTTTGGGTCTCGCATGTTTGCTGCGTTTGACAAGGGTGCAGTCTGACCACGTTTATGTCAGTCTCTTCAGTGGAAAATGTTTGAGTTTTCCTTCTCTGACGGATTTCTGCATTGCACAGGTTCCAGCTTTCACAGGTTTTACTGTATAACAGTACTGTTGTCTCAGGTTATCTTGGTGGCATGACATTTACGAGTATGCTCTCCAGTCTGATTCTGAGCCCAGAACGAGGTGTGAGAGCGCCCAGATCACTAGTACCCTTTGGTTTTGCTGTTTCATTGATTGCGATGCCATGTTTATCCTTAGGTGTTCTACAGTGGAGTTCTTGTAGACTGACATTCCATATCTGACCACTGTAGAACTGTTGGTTACCTCGAGAAGCTTTTCCCGTAGACTCTTAATTGTTACATAAACTTGGTCAAACGTAAAGGTTTTCAAACCCGGTTTTTCCTCCATCTTGTTGAATTTGCTGTTAGTGTTTACTGGGGGCATTGTTAACAAAGAGGTAACAGTACGCCTTCCATCTCATTCCTTTCTCTAAAAGAGGAAGAATAAAATCTTATCTTTACCCACATTTTGCTTTATAGTTCAATGAATTTTTTTGCCTTCAGAACTTGAGAATAGATGATAATTACCAATGTCAAAGTTGGCGTATAAAAATACATTGAAAAGCTACCTAATGTTAAATATTTCGGAGGTTGTAGATAGAGGGTGTTATTTTATGTTCTTGTTTCATGAATTTACGCCTATATGCATTAGGAACTGTATTAGGTGGAATTACTTTTGACTGCTAAGTGAGAGAAAATCTAAAATCATTGACTTAAACAATGTAGAAGTTTATTTCTCTCGTGTACAAGCTTGGGTAGGTAGTCCAGGGATGGTATGACTCTTTAGACATCCAGGTCTCTTCCGTCTTGTTCCTGTAACATATTAGACTCCCCATTTCCAGGTTACCTCGATGTTGCAAGATGGCTGCCCTACCTCTACATTTCAGCTAGTGGGGAGGAGAAAGGCATGCCCCCTACTTTTCAGGACATTTCCTGGACATTGCGCATGTCACCCCCCACCCACTGGCTGATTCACACATGCCCGCACTTAGCTGCAAGGTAGACTGGGAAATAGAATCTTAATCTGCGCAGCCATGTATCCAGATACAATTGAGGTGCTATTATTTAGGAAGAAGGGGGTTCATTTAAGGTACTGCCCTTCTTATTCATGTACAGAGGTGATTTTTTTTTTTTTTTTAAATTGCCTTTGATACAGAATATTGCTATCATCTCAGAAGCTGCCAGCTCAGGTATTTCATTACAAGCAGATCGGAGAGCTAAAAATCAAAGACGAAGAGTTCATATGACCTTGGAATTACCCTGGAGTGCTGATAGAGCAATTCAGCAATTTGGTAAGGTCCTACAGGGTTTCATTTAAATAGGTAATGGGGAATCAATTGGGAAAATGTGTGTATGTCAAAGTGTATTTAATGTTAAACATTTCTTGTAGTTTTGTGTATACGTTATAATGTTTAACCATCATGAACTCAGTTTAAAAGAGATGAAAGACCTGCTGTGGGATTGCATGGGGATCCCTGACTTCCCACCTATGTACAGGGCTCCTTGGGAGCACACCGGATCCACGTCAGAGCAGCTACCATTTCTGTGTCTTGTTCACCCCTCCGTGGTTTCACTGAAGGCACATCCCTCCTCCCTTCCCTTCCGGCTTCGTGTCCCTGTGATCCAGAGTGCAACCATTGATGCCGAATACAGGGTAGCTGTGCATCAGGGACACTGCTTAGCCACAGGTGGTGGTACCTTCACAGCACTCTGACCACTGCCACTGTTCCCTCTTGGGCAGTGTTGTTATGAGCGTGGATGTCATTCACATCAATATTTTTCTTTCTGTGCCTTTTGGGAGTTATGATACATAAGTTCTTGAGTTTTTCCCCCCTCTTTAAGGCTTTCTGACTACCAGCTTAGTGTTAAATGCTAGGCTAGGAATGGGCCTCAGAACGCCCAGTCTTTATGTAATGAGCACAATCAGTGATTTAAAACAAATGTTGTTACAGGGCGAACTCATAGATCAAACCAAGTTACTGCTCCGGAATATGTCTTCCTGATTTCTGAATTGGCAGGAGAACAAAGATTTGCATCTATTGTTGCTAAAAGACTTGAGAGTTTGGTAAGTTTTTGAGTTGTGTAGATTAACAGATGGTCAGTGTTAACCAGTTTTCTGGTGAAGAGTCAACCTGGCCTTGATTGGGAATTTTATGTTCTGATAGGGGGCACTTACGCATGGTGACAGAAGAGCAACAGAATCTAGAGATTTGAGCAGGTTCAACTTCGACAATAAGGTACATTTTAGTTTTCGGCATCTCGAAAACGTGGGGGTAGCGTGTGGAGTCTGTGGTGATACATGTTGAGTTTTGGCTTTATTCTTAGAAAGAAGGAACAGAAAGGAAAAGCAGTTACTGACTGTTTAAAACTTAAAACCGTCTCCCGTTATAGTTTTGCTTTAAAATCGTGGCTTCTTGTAAGTGCTGGGACTTGCCCCTGTCAGTTACAGAGGAGGTGTTGCTGGCCAGCTGGGAAGTAGAGTCAGATTTTTATTCCCACTGTAAATTAGAAATAAAATAAGTACCTCTCAATGAATCAATCAAGTGTGAGTTCCTAGAAGTAAAGGAAGTTACGTATTCACTCAGTGTCTGCTGTGCGCAAAGGCATGGAGCTAGCTAATATTAAATTATGCAGAGACAGTTGAGGCCTGCTTTTTTTTGGATCTTTGGGACAGAAATCCTTTTTTTAGCATTCAGTTGGTCATGTTACAGAAGAGTATCCAAATGCTGAAACTGGTTTTAAAAAAATTTATTTATTTTTTTAATTGCAGTATGGAAGAAATGCTTTAGAAATTGTCATGAAATCCATTGTAAACCTAGATTCTCCTATGGTATCACCACCTCCAGACTACCCTGGAGAATTCTTTAAAGGTAACTTTTAAATTAATCATAGCAAGGGGAAATGCTTACTGACAAGTACGCGCTGAAACCTGTTCTAACATGCAATGTTTTTTTGTTTTTGTTTTTAATAATTTATTTTTGTTTTTGTTAGTTTATACGCAGAGAACATACACCAATTCAGCAGTTTCTACATGTACAATACACTGACATTCATTACATTCTTCAAGTTGTGCAACCATCCTCAGCCTCCTTTTGTCAGTTGTTCCCTCTCCATTATCATAAACACACTGCCCCTTAAGCTTCCTAACTAATCTTTCCAGTTGCTGTTGTTGGTTTGATCCCATCCAGATAGCTCGTAAAAGAGCACAGTGCTCAAGGCAGACATTCTTTACTAGTTAAGCTAAACTATTTGGTTTTGAGGAGACTTCAGGGGATTTTTTTTGGTTTAAGGTTTAAAGGTTATCTCAGAGCAGTAGTTTTCAGGGTATGTGCTATTTTTTTTTTTTTTTTAGTTTTCTTTGGACATAAATTGTATAAAATTCAGAAAGTAAAGGTTAATAGAATACCTTTTTTATATGAAGCAGTAGATTTATTTATAAAACACATTTCACTCAAATGAGGTACTTTGTTCTTGGTGTAGCTTATCTATTATTAGCCTTAATAGAGCAAAGTGGTTTTGTTACATTTAATAAAATCACTTTGCCAAATAGCTTTAAAAATTTTTTAACATAAAGGAGGTAAATTTGTGGCCGAGGGGGTTAGTGGAAAGTGTAAATGAAATAAGATTGGCTGTACATTAACAATTGTTAAAACTGGTGGATAAGTACAAGTGGTTCATTAGAAAATTCTCTTTATTTATGTGTGTAGAAGTATCCATTGTTTTTAAAAAAAAAAAAAAAAATTCTGGGTAATATTAGAAGAATTCTTAGATCCTTATTGGAAATCCGTAGCATAGATTATACCTGTAAGTAAAGTAGTTCGGATAATTTCAAGAGTTCAAGAAACTATGAAAATGTTTTGTAAACCAAGTAGGTGTAAGATATTTGAGGCAACATCATGATAAATGGAGAAAATATGGAAGTTGTCAAGGATTTCATTTTACTTGGCTCCACAACTACTGGTCCATGGAAGCAGCAGTCAGGAATTCAAACAACGTGTCGCATTGGGCAAATCTGCTGCAAAAGACCTCTTTAAAGTGTTAAAAAAGCAAAGTTGTCACTTTAATCAGCTGATACTCTGCTACATGCTCAAAATTGTCTTAGATTCTGTGGGTGAAAAGAGTAGATAAAAGTCTCCACCACCAAGGATTGCTGTTGGAAAGATAAGAAATATCAAAGCACAGTGTGCGCTTTGAGAACTAGAAGATCTCAGAGTGCCTAAAGACCTTTGGGAACTGTGAATTCCATTTAATTCAGCTACTAGAAACTGAAGGATACATAGACTGTGTGTTATGCTAGAGTTTGATCTAGTGTCATTAGTCAGGTAACAGCTCATTGAGTCGTCTGAGCTATAAAATTTTTATTAGTGTATTTTCTTATAGATGTTCGACAGGGACTGATCGGTGTTGGCCTGATCAATGTAGAAGATCGCTCAGGAATTCTTACTCTTGATAAAGGTAAAACTATTAGATTTGTATATACCCATGACTGTTGCTGTATGATTGGAGTTCATTTTGTTTTTTATGCTTTTGGTAACTTGAAGGGAAACCTTGATGTCAGTTTTTTTTTTTTTTTAATAGACTTTATTTTTTATGGGAACATTCAGAAAACATAGAGATTTCTCATATAACTCCTTCCCCTTGCACACTGTTTCTCCTATTAACATCTTGCATTCCTGTGGTACATCTGTTACAGTTGATGAACCAATATTTGTACATTATTATAACTAAAATCCATAGTTTACATTAGGGTTCACTCTTTGTGTTGTATAGTCCTGAGGGTTTGACAAATGCTTAATGTCACGTGTCCACCATCATGGTATCGTGCAGAACAGTTTTACTGCGCTGAAAATGCCATGTACTCTTATTTACTCATCCCTGCCCCTGTCCCCCTCCCTCGGAACCCCGGACAACCACTGATTGTTTCACTCTCTCTGGGTTTTCCTTTTCTAGGACATTATATAGTTGGAATCATACAGTATGTAGCGTTTTCAGACTGGCTTCTTTGTCTTGGCACTGTGCACTTAAGATTTCTCCATGTCTTTTCCTGGCTTGATAGCTCATTTCTTTCTGTCACTGAATAATATTCCATTGTATGGATGTAACAGGTCTGTTTATCATTCACCTATCAAAGGACCTCCTGGTTGCTTATGACTTTTGGCAATTAATTATGAATAAAGCTGCTATAAGTATTATTTCCAAAACTTTTTCATCACTTCAAACAGAAACCCTGTACCCATTAAACAGTAATTTAATTTCCTCTTCCCCACCCCTGGCAACCACCAGTCTGCTTTCTGTCTATGGATTTGCATTTTCTAGGTGGTTCATATAAGTGGAATCATACAATATTTGTCCTTCCGTATGGGAATTATTTCACTTAATGTTTTCAAGGTTCAGCGTGTATTAGAATTTCATTTCTCTTCAGGGCTGAATAATATTCCATTGTATGATTATATTACATTTTCCTTATCCATTCATCTTTTGATAAGTGAAGTTGAAGGTGCAAAAATTCAGCAAACATCTTTTGAGCATATACTATGGTTGTGGTACTTTCTAGAGATAGAAATGGGTAAAATATAGCCATGTTCTGGGGGCAGTGCAAGAGTTGTCAGTGGAGAATTTGGAGGACAGAGTGGGACTTTGAACTAGGCCTAGATGAATAAGAAATTTTAATTGCCATTCTAATGTATTAAATCTTTCATATAATCTTGTCATTGCAGATTATAACAACATAGGAAAATTCTTGAATAGAATTTTGGGCATGGAGGTACATCAGCAGAATGCCTTGTTTCAGTATTTTGCGGATACACTTACTGCAGTTGTTCAGAATGCCAAAAAAAATGGAAGATACGATATGGGAATCTTAGGTAAGCGGAGGAAATAAAAATGTCGTGTGTTCCTAATAAAAATGATTGTTTTTTACATTTACGTGTTGCTTTTTCTTGTTGAAGATCTTGGTTCTGGAGATGAGAAAGTGAGGAAAAGTGATGTTAAGAAGTTTCTGACTCCAGGGTATTCAACATCTGGCCACGTAGAGTTATACACGGTAGGTTTGGAAAACTTATCTCCCTTCAGCTATACTGTCTTTCTGTGAGATGCACACAATGTAATCTATTTCTTTTACAGATTAGTGTAGAGAGGGGGATGTCCTGGGAGGAAGCTACCAAGATTTGGGCTGAGCTGACAGGACCGGATGATGGCTTTTACTTGTCATTGCAAGTACGACTTGTTTTCTTCAAGTGTAGCCTGTTTGTGCATGTGATGCTTTTCCATGTCCCACATGGGAATCCACCTTTTTGCTTTGTGCCTGTTTTCCAACTATGTTTCATTTTCTGTACTTCGATAATCGAATAATTGTAGGTTTATTAATTTACATAAATTGTTACTTAATATATTGTGGGGCATTATTAGATGCGTGCAAGTTTAGAATTGTTATATAGCAAAACCAAACCAGTTGAGTCTTTTCCTACTCCAGGTGATCCTACACGACAGAGTAGAACTGCCCCATAGGGTTTCCAAGGAGCAGCTGGTGGAGTCAAACTGCCAACCTTTTGGTTAGCAGCCAAACGTTTAAAGCACTGTGCCACCAGGGCTCCCAGCTGTTACGTAAACTTCCCAAATGGAGCCTTTTTTCATAATAAACAGGTCTTTAGTCTTAAAATCTTGTCGGTCGGTTATTAGTGTAACTGCGTTTGTCTGGTTTGCCTGTGACCAGAACTCAGAAGGGGAAAGAGTGTGCGGGGGTTTCAGTTGGTCTGCACAGGGTAAAGGCTGTTGTTCTGCATTTGAAATTATTGCCAGTATTTAAGCACTGGTAGATCTTTATAATTTATTTTACTTCTTGTTGTTGAGAATATACACAGCAAAACATACACAATTCAGCAGTATCTACACGTACAATTCAGTGACGTTGGTTACATTCTTCGAGTTGTGCAACCATTCTCACCCGCCTGCACTGGTGGATTTTGATGAAAGTCCTCATTGCGAGCTTCCCTTGAGTAGCAGGATGTGGTAACACTGGTCTTTTATTTCTTCAAGGTCACATGGGCTGGGTGTGAGGAGTGGTGGTTCAGGGGGCACATCGCTCCATTAAGATGCAGCCGTTAGCCTTTGGTCCACCATAACTTGAAGCAAATGTGGCCTAGCAATGTGTTTAACATTGGGATAGCCATCAGAATCACTTTTATCTTCCACTGTAGTGTGAGGATTTATTTTAAAATCAGTCAGCCTGACACTCTCAGGACAGATCGCAACTTGTTACATCCTTTGAACACCATGCTCCTTAACAGAAGTGTAATCAGCTGAGTGAATATTCCACATCGACTGGCAAGAATTTAAAATGAAATCTTCACTCTGTTCTGTGACTTGCGCAGTAATCATAAGAACAGTGTGTTAGATCATTTGAAACAAGTAAGAGACAAAGAATCTTTAATGTCCTTGAAGAGAAAAGTGTTGTCTTTTTTTGTCGTAAAAATTATCTTAATCCAAAAAGTTAGTGGCTCGGTGAACAATGATTTATTGTTTGAAGGAGCTGGGAACATAGCTTTGCTTTGAAACTTAACTTTTCCTTCAATTTTGCTCTACAGATGATTGCTTAGAAGCTGTTCACCATCCTTTAAAGGAGAAACTAATTTTCTAATCTTGTTATTTCTTGTGGGGCTTTTTACAACTCCTTTGTCTTTACAACTCCTTTCTCTTAGGGTTTCTCTCATAGGTCCAAGTTTTAAAAAATTAAAAACACATACCTAAGTTCTCTCGTTTCCCTGATGCATCCCTTCCTTGTCTGCATGCTTATCTCTCTGATTGTTCATCTGGGCATTCTGCTGCCATGGCTTTTCTGCTCATGGAGCACTCCGTCCCGTGGCCCCTCGCTTCACCCTGAAGGCCATGCTGGGAAGTGAGCACGGGTAGCACTGCAGGGCCCATGGGTTCAGAGCACTCTGGGCCGTCAGGGTCGGGGTTTCACTGTATCTTCACGAAGAATAGCCTTTGCCCCAACATGTCATCATGAATACTTTAGAACCTACAGCAGAGGTGAAGGAATTTTACTGTAAACACTTTTATTTTCACTACCTAGATTCTGCTGTTCACGTTTTATTCCACTTGCATAACACGCATACATGCAGCTGCGTGGGCTGTGATTCCAGGTACAGGGAACAGCACAAGCCCAGTGGTCTCTACTAGCCATTTGTGCTTTAAAGCATAGTCAGTCATTTTCTCCAAGACACCTTGGTCCTCAGCCTCTCTTGGCCTACCCTCAGAGGGTAGGTGTGGCCTTGTTAAACCCACTATACAAGTGGTCGTCACCCTGTCCCGCAGCTGCATGTTCGTGAACTTATTGGATAACAGTCTTTCAGATGGTGATATGTGCTGCTGATGTGATAGGACAAAAGTGAACGTCCCAAAGTGGGCACTGTCTAATTTTTTCATTTTTTATTTTTTATATACAGATAAGGAACAACAAGAAAACTGCCATCTTAGTTAAAGAAGTGAATCCTAAAAAGAAGCTTTTCTTAGTTTATAGACCAAATACTGGGAAACAGCTCAAATTAGAAATTTACTCTGATCTAAAAAAGAAATATAAGAAGGTATTTTCTCATCTGTGCCTTACATTGTATATGAGTACTTGTTTTATAATAAAACATTGAAACAATGTTTAGGAGAGCTTTACGTCTAGATAGAAAATTATTTTGCCAGTTTTCTTCTGTTTAGTTATGTTTAAAGGAAAATTGTTTTCAGAAAAGAATTTACTAAGTTTTCTTACACTTAATGTGATCACCGTTAAGAAACTATTTGAAACAGTGTAAGTGGTCAGCACAGGAAGCATCCAGTGTTAACTTCCAACGTCAGAATGTTTTAAATAAAGGGAAGTTGTACCAGACCAAAATCCCATCTGATTAACTCTATTGTGAACATACTGCTCTCTTTATATTTTGCAATGGTTTCTGTGAAACTTTAAACTGAACAGGCATCAAGGGTCAGTTTTTCTGTACAGGGATGATTTTAAATTGGCTGCCTCTGGAGAAGTTTTAGAGACTAGATTAGACAAGCGGTTTATTTAAAACAACCCCATCACAATGGAATTTTTGTCTTATCTTTACAGGTAGCCTCTGATGATGCCCTGATGCACTGGTTAGACCAGTACAATTCATCTGCAGATACTTGTACCCATGCTTATTGGTTAGTATTTCCATGTTTCCCACATATTTTCCAAGATGTAATCAAACTTTGATTTAGTCATCTAAGTATGTTCTTATAAGTAAATGACCAGAGCAGCTGTTTTTAGGGCTTGCTTCATTCAACCAGAAATACTTACTGGACCTCTGGGAACCAGGCACTGTCTAGGTAGCCCCTCTGCTCGACATTGTTTGCAGCCAGCTGTTACCTGCAGTAGAGACTCAGTTGTCACCCGTAGTGTTAAAACTTGCTTTTTTCCTTCCGTCTCTCCCTTCCCTCCTCACTTTCTACCTCTCCCTCTTTCTTTTCTCTCTCTTTTTTTTAGCAGCATCACTGTTGTCACCAGATCAGTTTTATTTTTAAAGCTAGGGAACTTGTAAGATGCCAGAGAGGTACGTAAAGTAGCTTCACAGCCCCAGAAACCTTCATGTTGTCAAGTCTTGGAACTGATCCTCCTGTGGTACACGGGTAACGAGAGGTGTAGTCTTTCAAGTCATTAGATAATCCCCCTTGTGATGTCCATTTCAGGACCTGCTAGAGAGCATTTTAACAATGTGCAGATCTGAATTCACTCTTGAATGTTTTCTCACCCATTCAGGAGGTGATGTTCTTGGGGTATCTGACCTACTTTGTGAAAAGAGTTATAGGATATAAATGGATTTTACGCAGGTAGATTTGTTTGGTCTCAGCAGTGTTTCTTATTTGTTTTCGTTTTTAGAGTAAATTGGTGCTGTTGAAAATTAACACAGGAGAAGCCTTTAAGATTAAATATTTAAAAAGTTAGCCTGCAAAAGTCCTTTAAAACATTTGCTTTGAGTTTTAGCAAGAAAAGTGCATGTAAATTGTGTGTTTTAAATTTATCTTTAATTAGTACTGGAAGGACATTTTTATTGATGATTTGTGAAAATAATTTTAACCATAAATACTGGTATATTAGTATATTGATATGTTAGACCTTCTTAGTTCTTTTTAATTTTCAAATGGTCTCATTTTTGTTTGTTTGCCAGGGTCTTTCCCGCTAATCTGGTTAAAGAACAGTACACCGATGGTTTAATAATTTAAAAGTAGGCAGGATCATTTTATAAGCTAGTGTTAGTACAGTAAGATAATGAATATTAAAAGGGCTAAAATGCTTAAATGGATAACAAAACTAGTAGATCAGCCCTTTGACGGGGAATCAGACCCCAGCAGTAACTATGGTTTTAAAAATCAGTAGTCATACCTTAAATTGGAAAGGATAATCCAATATGCCAAAAGGATTCTAATCTAAAAAACAGTCACTTAATAAAGGCAGAGGGTGCTAGAATATTTTCTGTTTGAAATTTGGATAGACTTTGTGAACTTACTATGAACGTGTGTGTGTATATACACACCTCACCCCCACTCCCTTGTCGGTTCTAGGCGTGGCAATTGCAAAAAAGCAAGCTTGGGATTAGTTTGTGAAATAGGCCTTCGCTGCCGCACATACTATGTCTTATGTGGTTCCGTCCTGAGCGTCTGGACAAAAGTCGAAGGTGTTCTAGCATCTGTCAGTGGCACAAACGTGAAAATGCAGATAGTTCGGCTAAGAACAGAGGACGGACAGCGGATTGTAGGTGAGTCTGATTTTTGTTTTGGTTTGAGTTGTGGGGAAAATTCAGATCCTGCTTCTTTCTCATTTTGCCTCTAATGTCTTAGAATCTTAGCATTTCTTCCAGCAGTGGGTGTGGAGCTTCAAAGGTTCTTACTGAAGTTACGCCATGGTCATTTATTTTCTGCAGCTCTCGGTTACTCTTGTTCTCCCTGTCCTCACTGTTGCCACACACGCAGGTTCCCTGGAGTGAAGACTTGCCCAGGATGCTCCCAAGTCTGTCATTGTATGTCCTTTGAGTCAGACTGCGACTGTGCACATCCGAGCCGCCGTGCACAGAGGGTGGTTTGGAGTCATGCAGGGCAATGGCAGACCAGGCTGGCTGCTCGACAGCAGGCTTCCCAGGAACCAGCTGTTGGTCTGTGTTTCATTTGCATGACTTCCTCTGCAGATGGGCAGCCTGTGGGACCAGGCCGGTCCATGAAAATTGTGCTTGGCACCAAGTGTTTCTGATTGCGTGTTTTCATTTGAATTAGCTGCCAACATCTAAAAAATACAAGAAGTTCGTATAGAAGTCTGGATTTCCAGCTTCTTTCAGAAAAACAGCTTATCTGGAACACGGGGCCCATTTCCCACATGGCAGGAGTTGACAGCTCCTTACCCAGGGCGTGTACGCTCTTCAGTTTGCCTGTATCTTCACTGTGCCCACTTAGAAGCCACCTGCCTCAGTAAGCGTTTCAATTTGCAGCTCTTTTGGGTGTGTTAGTATGTGGAGAAGCAGGTGATATTTGCACATCTTTGTGGGGCTGCAAAGATAGTATATACTCATTGGTAGAAAGGTCTTGTACTTCACCTTTTAGTTCCTCCACCAAGAAGGTGGTATTACACATACATAGATGCATATACTTGCTTGTTTTTGAGAAACATCAAAGAATCAGATTACTTCTGAATGGGCCATCTTGTTTCTTATTATGCATTTAATCTTTGTGTGGAGTTCTTGTTTGCTGTGCTTATTACTGTTATGCCTGGTTTGAGATCCACTGTGAAGCTGTAAGATGCAGTGTGGTCTCTCCTGGATGCAACTTTACACGTTGTTCTTATTAACTACAGGTTTGATCATTCCAGCCAATTGCGTGTCTCCTCTCGTAAACCTCTTGTCCACTTCAGACCAGTCTCAGCAGCTTGCTGTCCAGCGGAAACAGCTATGGCAGCAGCATCACCCACAGAGCATCACCAACTTGAGCAACGCATAAAGGGCAGACAGGTTTCAACATGGATGTGTCTGGAATGCTGTTGAAGCATATCATTTGCATAAAAATCAGGGACAGTTTCCAAAGAATTATATATTTTTTTTCAGTTGTGCTCTCTCTCTCTCTAGTTAAATTTTTTTGGGAATAAGGACAAGCCTGGAATAGATAGCAGAGCTGAAAATCAGCGGTGCCTATGGTGGTACATCTGTCTTTCCTTTTGCTTTTCCTGTGGTACTTCCCGTTTGCTTTTCCTTTGGGTCAGCAGAGGGGTGTGTGCGTGCGTGCGTGTTAGTCCATTTGTTTGTGAGTTTGTCTAAGGCTACAAGCCACAATTGGTTTAAGATGCTTGGAACTTCCCAAACTGGCTTTACTTTTATGTTCCTCAGTGCTCAGGGTTAACACCGTACATCCATGCCATTGCTGGGGCTTCTCCCAGATGCATGTATTTTGAGTCTATAAATATAGAGAATATATATGGTTTCTTTCCCCAACTTCTTAGACAGTAGGCTTATTATAGCATGAAATGAAAGGTTGCATATCATGCGTTCAGGTTCTTTTCTAGTTTTTGTTCTGACACTGCATGTCTTTGAAAGCATGCGTAAACAACATTAACCAGAAGTCACGTAACAGAGAGAAACACATTTGTAGATGTACAGCATTGGTTATTGCATTTTTATAGTGTTTATACCTGGGTATTGCTTCTGACCTGCGAGCTCCTCCCGCTTCCCTTCTTCCCCTGGTTTTCTCAAGATGTTGAGTACATACCTTTTTGTGTGTGCGTGCGTGTATGATAGAACTCTGAACAGTTCTTTTAATGTATTTGATAGTATTTCTAAAGTGTGCTGCAGAAATGGCTACAAGCCTGTTTTTTTTGTCCCTTAAAATTACATTTTCCTTAACTTAAAGATAGTTTTAGAAAGAAGTACAAATTGGCTTCCATCTTGCAAACAGTCTTTTTTTCCTTCATTCTCTCAATTTGCTCTGTCACTCATGAAAGGAAACCTTACTTGAGCTGTAAACTAGACAACGAGGAAACACTTGAGGCTTCTGCTGTACGTCTTTCTTTGTGTTGGTATTGTCGTTACTCAGTAACTCGAACGTTGTTTGTTGTGTTGTAAGACATTGTAGAGTTTATCTCAAGCTGTTCAAAATGGTAATGTACAAATGTGAATAGACACTTATCTATAATATGGGTAAGTTTGGTTTCGCCTATAATAGATGTTTATAAACAAGTTGAGGGGACAGTTGATCTTTTTGTTTCTTTTTATTATTATTATTATTTTTTTGCTTGCACAGGTTGCACTATTGAAAAATTGAGATTGTATAATAAACCTGGTCAAAAGCTGCAAGATACCAAAATCTTGTAGATGTCAAATAAAAAGTTATTATGCTAACAAGAAGTGGACTCTTGCTTAGGCCCTCACCACCCTCAGCAGCAGTCAGTGGGGATCTGCAGGGCTTGCGTGTTGCCTCAGCAGTCCAGGTAGCCTTAAATTGTGGCTTCGCACCTACCCCTAAAAGTTGAGATGGTGTTGAGGAAGGGGTGAAGTGATAGACTTTTGAATGTTTTTCCGGTTGAGTTGTTCTCGTGTGTTGCTTTTTAAATGCCCCAGAACCGGACGAGTGTTGTAGGCTCCATGGCAGGAACCTGGTGGAATGCTCGGGCTGTCGTTCTCTTCCTCTGAGCCTGAGTTTGCTTACGTCAAGCTTACCATAAGTTTTCTTCTGGATTTATTTATTTTTGGTGCCTAAAAGATAATTGAGAAACAGTTTCTGTTCTTTGGCACATTTTGCCCAGTGGATGCAACTCCCACCTCAGTCCAGTCCATGTGTCTCAGGCAGTGATCCGTATGAATATCAGGCAGTGATCCGTATGAATATCAGCCAGCGGCCAAGAGCAGAAATGCCCCTTTCAGCTCAGCAGGACCTCCCAGTTAGTGCTCCTGTTGTTAACTGTTAGCCCAGCTGGCTTCCATCAGCGTACTAAGGTGAAAGGGACCTGGGGAAGGGAAACGTAAGGGACCTGCCCCGTCCAGTGGGAAGAATGGCAGGGCTGGGCAATGCACTCTCCTAGGCTGTTGGCCCACCTTCCCCGTCGTGGGGGCAGGATCTTCTTAGCAGATTATGGGGGGTTTTGGTAGTGGATTTGTTTGTTAATGTTTTTTTTTTTTTTAAGCTAAGCAGCATCAGTAAGAGGGATCTTTAGCCTGCGGTTAATTAGCTTTCACAGCTGATGGAATATTTACTCTTAGAATAGCCATCTTGATGCAGAGGGGCATGTGGGTGTTCTGTTCTTTCTAAAACAGATTGAAATAATAAGGTCCAGAATGGCCTCAGAAACTCCCTCAACGTAGGCCTCAAAAACGCAGCCAGTATAAACGGGTGGGCAGCGGAGGTGCGGCAGGTCCAGGCCCTGGTGGCGTGTGGCACCTACCTGAGCACCAGACCCTAGTGCCCGCCGTCCCCCTTCTGAGGCGCACGTGACCGTCACACTGTGCCCGTCGTATAAGTCACAAGTTCAGGTTGGCCAACGTGGGAGAAAGCCGCAGCATCCGAGGTCTTCCTTGTTCAGAGACTCCGGTCTTAACAACAGCTCACTTGTATAAAGTCAGTCCATTTACGTCAGGACGTAAATGCCATGACTGAACCCAGGGGCCTTGTTTAACCTGTTGAGAGTCCAGTTGGCCTCTGCAATGCCTTTTTTCCCATTTTAGCAATACAGCTCTGAGCACGAAGATGTGATTATAAATCATGTTGGTGTTTTCAGAGTTCACAGTGTCGATTGTACTGAGAACCACTTCCAGAGTCCAGAGCTGCTCAGATGTTCTCTCTTGGGGAGTTTGCCTTCCCCTCATCTAGCCACCTCCATACCGCAGGGTCTCTGTATTTGCAGTTCAGTAGATAATCCAGATGTGCTGTCAACAGTAAGTATTCATAGAAGTATTAAAGTCTTTCTTAAACTCAGCTTCATCAAAAGGTAGAAAAGTTAACAGTTTTCCATTTTTGCTGCTAAATTGCAGATACACTTTTCAGTATCTTTCTTTACATGTATATATAAATTAGTAAGACCTGCAGCCAAAGCAATGTAGTAGTGCGTGATGTACATATATGTTTGTTCTAACGCAGCTGATTTAGCACTTCAGAACCCTTTTTGAGTTGCAGCAATAACCCTTTTCATTTTACTTGGCTTCATCTTAGAGGTTAAATGTTCTAGATTGCCCAGCTCCAGGGGAATTGTAGACATTTTAGAGGGACAGTTTTCTGGCTGTAGTTAAACGCCCGCTTGGGCACTCATTTGCCAGTCTCGGTGTGATGTTGTTAGAACAACTTCTGACAGGCAGGAGCGGAAAGGGCACCATGTACGGTTGTGTAATATGAAGGACCCTGTCCCTTATCCTGCTACTTTCCAGTTTAGCACGAGGGGGCAAACCAGTAGATGAGAACTGATGGCTGCTTCTGGATTTAGGAAGGTAAGGGCAGAGAGAGGAAGAGCTTTCCCCCTTGGGTCCTTTTCTTGATAAGAGATGCAGAGGAGGGCCCCTACCCCAGTACTCTCATTTAAAAAATGTCCCTGAGCACTACGTGGTAATGTCTGAGAATGGTGCTGCATGAGTCTTCACTAAGCTGGGACCCGGCCAGGGGCTGCTTGGGTAGTGCAGGCTCCCCAGTGGCAGAGGTCCCGCTCTGCTGAGGATCATTTGTCGGCTACCCTTCCTTGTCTCTGCTCTCCCCAGCTAACCCCGCACCTGTGCACACGCACGTACGCATGTTTTGCTGCTGAAATACCGCGAGCATTCCGTGTGGTGGCCACAGCCGAGAGCAAAAGGTTCTCACTGGATGCCAGTTGTCTCATAAATGTAGCATCGTGTTAAGGGCCCGTAAGTGAAGGAAACTCACCTACATACCTGCAACTCAAGCCAGCTAGCAATTTTTTTTTCTGAGTACTTGAGGGGAAATCCCAAACCCTCCCTCTAATGTTATGCTGTACTTATATATATGTACATAGGTGTGTATAGAGAGAAACGGTGAGTTCTTTTGAATTCTGAATGTAAATACTTCTTGTACATTGAGACCCTACCTGCTTGTTCTTCCCATCTGGCCTCCTTCCCTCAACCCTATTTATGCTGTTCTCGACTTACTGTACACAGCATCCCTTTAATGTAGAAAAGGTCTGCGAACCTCCTTAGTTGAATGTGTTCATCTGTTTTAGAGTTGAGTTTTGCATCTTTACTATGGAACTTGTATGTTTTGTGTTAATACTTTTCAGCATGCCTGATTTGTGTTCTGCATTTTTATTACAGATTTTTACTGTGTGCAATGCATTGTATTGGGGGGAAATGTACTTGAGTGCAATTCTGTTACTGTCATTCTATGACTAGTTATGCTCATTTATGTTGCTCCTTAGAAGCTATGAGCCTGATGTTTTCAGATTTTCTAAAAAAATTCTTCCCTAGATTTCCTTTAAGCTCCTCTAACTTCTTCAGTGCATTTGGGATCAAACTTTAGCTCTTCAGTAAACCCGACTTGCTCCTACATTTGGAGTTTGTAAGGCCTGTCCCAGACCCCTCCTGCGTGGCTCGCCACCCAGTAGGAGCATCTCTCAGACTTGAAGCAGTGATGGATGGCCTGCTGCCACCTCAAGCCCCGATGTTCCTTTAAAGAGCTGGCCCTGTGCTGTTAACCTACAAATAACCAGAAATTAACTCTGCAGTGAGTGCAAGTAATTGTTTCTGCTGTAACCTGTTGGAAGGGTATTAATAGCAGGGCGGAGAGACAGGCCTGGTGCAGGCTGGTGTCCTCACTGACAGTGAGGGGAGAGAATGTACATTAAGGAGCAGTCTTACTCCCAACACAGCTGCAGCGGAGGCTCGATTCTGCTCTGGAGGGCGAGATCGTGAACCCAGCGAGGCCTGTCCAGGAGGCTTCCCTGAGCTATTTGCCCACCAGTGTGTCAATGGGTTGGTCTTGGCTTGGTCAGCCCTAAACCCACAAGCTGAGCTGATTGAGGCACACTGCCCCCTCCCCGCCTCTCAGTTGTAAGGTTTGTATTGGCAGCAGGGAAGACCCAGCAGTGGCTCATGAAAATGGTAGTAGTGCTCACCCCAGAGGCAACGCTTGGTTTTTATTTCCAGATTTTTGCACTTTTAAGAAAATAATCCATCTGTAACTCCAAGGAAAGATTGTGGTGAGCATTTCTTGGCCCTTTTATTCATGTGCACGTTTCATTCATTACTGTTCAGCGGGGTAGGCTTGTTAGTTGAAATTTAAACATTATCTGTATTCAGATAAATCTTGAGAACTTAATTTGTCATAAATTGGGACTGGTCACAGAGTGCCTCCCGTGTGAAGCCCCTTTCCAACATGCCTTGTCTTGCTCTCTGGTGCTTTTGGTGCCTGTGGGGTGGTTGGCCTGCGTGGCTGTCGATAGGGCACTCGGCTGCAGCAGTGTGGCAAGGCAAGGCTAACCTAAGACACCCTGCTGGTGCAGAGTCGGCAGGGGAGGCAGCAGCCGGGGGCAGAGGACCAGCCCGGGCCCTTCGGGAGACTGCCCAGGCCTTTTTTCTTGCTGGTGCTGTGACCCAGCTCCCTTCCTGGAGGCCCACTCCTGTCTGGAGCAAACATTTCTGGCCAGTGTACCTAAGGGACTTTCTTGCTATGACAGTATTTGTGGCACTGAAGAGGATAAAGAAGCTTGAGCCTTCTTTCTGACTCCCACTTCACGGGGCGGAGAGAGCTTTTTTTTCTGCATAGCACGTGGCAGTCTCGCCGCTACCAGAAAACATCGTCCTGTTCATGGTTTATACTGAATTTGCAAACTACTGATATTATTTTTCAATAACCACTTGTATCTACCATCAGCCATGAGAAGCAGGAGAGGTGCGCTGTGTCTCTGCAATAAAACTTTTGCCAGGTTCTACCTCCGCTGAGCAAAGAATACTTTCTTACCTAGGCTTCCATCTCCCCCGTCCCAGTCCAACATGGTGCATCTTGCAACACACGTGATGGACTCCAAAGACAATTTGAAACAAAGGTGGATGTAAACTCTTTGAGTTTGTCTTTTCGTTGTTGTTTTGTTGTTTAAGCCTCCCCCTTTCTGCGGCTTCTCTGTTTGGAGTCCGCCAGCCGTAGGAAGGGCACGCACTGTTCTGAAGATGCTGCACTGCTTCCTCCAGCCTCTCCGTGGCGGTCCAGCGCCACGTGTCCAGAGTGACCATCCCCACCATTTTGATGTCTAACTTGAAAAACGGGGTGTCCTGCAGTAGACACGTATTGGCTGTATTCAGCAGGGTTTATCCTTGCTTGTCAAAGCGATCAACCACGAGGCGTAACAGATCCTGTATTTAGTTTTTTTGTTGTTGTGTTTTGTTTTTTCTTTTGTAAGATTCTTAAATAAATTAAACCTGCTAACATGCGTATCTTGTGGTGATTTCTTTGTCCGAGTCGGAGCATCCGTTTGAGCGGGGTCAGGGCCGCCTCGCCCATTGAGAGGGGCTGCTTTCCAGGGGGCGGCCTGTTTGTTGGCATCGTGTTTAAGATGAACTGTAGAGCACATCTCCTGATGCAGAGGAGATGGAGCCCGACTCATTCTGTGCCAGGACACGGCCTTGCCACCACCACACACACCTCTGTCCAGTTTCACTTAGCACTGTAAGCCTGGGCTGCAGCCCTGGCACTTATCTGGCCTTGGTCCTGAGACTTGTCACTGAGTTCCTTCCGTAAAAGATGCCACGAAATAGCCAAGGGGCCCTAGGGAAGAGGTGGTCTGTGGCATCCTTAGCCAGGGGTTGGGGGACTTGGGATACAGGGCTCCCTGTGTATAGTTCCCTCCCAGGGATGGGCGTGGCTCGCAGCAACCATCCCATCCTGTCTGTTAGCCCAGGACAGGAGTGCCACCTCTGAAAAAGCAAAACACAGAAGCTAATGTAACGAATGACCACAGCTAATGTCCAGCACTCACTGTGTGCCAGGTGCTGTGGAGTGCTTTCTGTGTTCATTCGGTCCTCAGTCCTCCCTGTTTCAGATGAAGAAGTTACTTTGCTTACAAGCTATGAGAGGACCTTTACTTCGTCGTTTTTGCGGAATCTGTGTTTTTATTTAGTACTTACAAGCGTTTAATGCGAAACTGCAGTGTGTCAGCATTGGGCCACATGCTGTCCCCGCTAGTGATTATTCATGGGTAATTATCCTAAATGACAGAGACAGCAAACAAGATTTCTGACGGTTACGAGAATTAGGAAGAAAACGTCAGCAATGCTAAGTGCAAGAACGTGGGGCTGTGCCACCTAAGAAATGCCAGGAACCCTGGGATTCCAACCTGGGGTCAAAGCTGATGCCCAGGCCCCCAGGCAGAGCAGCCACAGGTGTGCTGGTGGATGGGAGAGAAGAGAGAGTGGACCCCGGAAGCTGCTGATGACCTCTGGTGCTTACTGATGCAGAAATACAGATTTGCCCAGAAGTCTAATCGGCTTCTTCCACTAGACTTGGGGGTCCTGTAGAAGAGTGAACAGATCACAGTCTCTGTGTGTGTTCATATCATCCATTTTGGTCCTCATAGCATCCCATGAGGTGTAAGTACTGTTACGTTTGTTTTATACAACCAAAAAAAAAACCAAACCTGTTGCCGTTGAGTTGATTCCGACCTATAGTGACGCTATAAGACAGAGTAGAACTGCCCCATAGAGTTTCCAAGGAGCGCCTGGTGGATTTGAACTGCTGAGACCTTGCTTTGCAGCCGTAGCACTTAACCACTATGCCACCAGGGTTTCCTTTTGTTTCACGGAGCACAGGAAACGAGGCCAGGGAGCTGGCCCACAGTGGGGTCAGTCTCCAAGTACACAGCCTGGGTCAGGAGTTGGTGCTGCTGCCACTGTGGTTAGCTGCCGTCGAGTTAATACTGACTCATGGCAACCCCCAAACACGCAGAGTAGGACTGCTCCGTAGCGTTTTCAAGGCTGTGACCTTCTGGAAGCAGATTGCCATGCCTTTCTTCTGAGGCATCTCGGTGGATTTGAACCACCAACCTTTTGGTTAGTAGCCCAGCGCTTAACCATGTGCATCACCAGGGACTCCTGCTGCTCACTAGGCCCCTAGAAAAATGATGGGAGGAAAACAGGGTTGGAATGTGTGTATGGTTTTCCAGACATTTAGAGTGTTGCTTGTTGGCGAGCTGTTTGAAATGCTGCAGAGAATTGTTCTGTTTGTAGCTTGAAATGCTTAATGGAATTGAATTACATTTGTAAATGGCATTAATGTTTAGGGAGATTTAGTCTGTCATATATGTGAGATAATTGTGCATTACTTGAAATGTTTGAAATTTCAATTAAAGTTATACTAAAATATGTTGTGTCAGTTGAGCTTACACAAGACTAAAAGGAAACTGGGTTTTTAGTTGTATAACCTCAAGAAGTTGAATAGAAGCCCTGGTGATGCAATGGTTAAGCACTCCGCTACTAACCGAAAGTTTGGCGGTTCAAACCTAATCAGCAGCTCCGCGGGAGAAATGCCTGGTGATCTGCTCCCATAAAAATTATAGCTTAGGAAATCCTATGGGGCGGTTCTACTCTGTCACATGGGGTTATTATGAGTCGAAAATCGACTCGTGGTCAGCTAAAAACAGCAAGTTGAGGGAGTGCATCTAGCTTCAAAGAGCCTCCTCCACCATCCGCATTCGGCTCCTGTTACTGTACAGCTGGGCTTCGACCCTGTTCCTCTTCTGTGTTGTATCTGTTCTGTGGTCTGCTCTCAGCCTCAGTACTAGTCACTATTGGGGCTGGATAATTCCTTGTCATGGAGAGCTGCCCTGTGTCTTATAGCAGAATTAGCAGCATCCGTGGCCTCTACGCACCAGATGCCACTAATACCTCTCTCCCTGGATGTGACAACCCAGAATGGCTCCAGTCATTGCCACATGTGGGGGGCGGAGGGTCTGTGTTGCCCCTGTTTGAGAACCACTGCCCTAGGCAAGTTAGTCGTGAGGCAGATGCTCCATAAGTATGAATATTTATCAGCTAGTCATTTGAGAGCATGATGTAAAGAAGCCATCTGGGGAGGCCTTTATGGCGAGAAAGAGGAGGCTAAAAGAAATGTGCAAAACACTTATTTTTAGAGTCCAATTCTCAGCAAGTTGGCCCCGTCCTCTAAAAGCTGCCCACTCTATGTGTCAAGAGCGTTACTGGGCTAGGAGAGGTAACTGCCACTCTCCACTCTCTTGCTTTCAAGTCATTGTTCTTTAATTAATAAATACCGCTCAGTATCAGGCAAAGGTAAATGGCCAAGTAGGTGCTAAATTCATCTGTAATACTCCATTGCTTTTCCTGATAGATTGTTGGCTTGAATAAGTAATACTTGCAGAACACAAATCAACAGGCAGATGAAAATCTACAGTGAAGATTTACTTTTCTCCTCCTCCTCCTGCCCGGTCCCCAGTTCTGCCCTTTTTCTAGCGGTCATTCTCGCCAGTCTCGAGTCCCCTTTTTGGGGGAACTCTGGATGGCCAGGTTTTATGAGCACACATGATGCTCTCACTTGTGTTGTTCACCTTTGAGTCCAGGCACGATTGCTTTTCGAAGGTTGATGTGTGATTCCTTAATTTGTAGAGCAATTCAAACTAGAATAATTTATTAGTTTCAGGAAAGTAGGAACCTTATCAGCATGAGCCTTTGATAAAAAGCGAGGTGTTCTGGGAAGATGCCCACTGGGAAGAGCGGCAAGAGGCCCCTCCAGTCCCCCATTCCGCGTCTAGTTCTAGATTAAGGTAATGACACACCGCTCACGATTCCTGTGTTAAGTGGAATTTCTGGCTAGCTTTCTGTTCCCGCGGTTTATTTTCTGAGCGTGTGTACGTCTTGTCTGGAGGTATTGATACGAAAATAGGACTTAAGTCCTCAAATGTTTGTCCGTTCTTGGTGTTCTGTACGTAGGGGATCAAGCTTAAGAAACAAACTTCGGGATTCTACAACAGAGGTTGGCAAACTCAGGTCTCCAGGTCACATCCAACCACTGTCCATTTTTGAATGACCCCACAAGCTGAGAATGGCTTTTACAAAATTTTTGGTGGTTGTTAAGAATATACACAGCAAAACACACACTGATTCAACAGTTTCTACATGTACAATTTAAGGATGCTCAAGGCAGACATTTTTTACTAGTTATGCTAAACTATTGTTGGGTTTTAAAAAGACTTCAGAGGATAGGTTTTTACATTTTTAAATGGTTGAAAATATTTTGTGACACTTGGAAGTTAATGAAAATCATATTTTAGTGCCCATAAATAAACTTATATTGGCATACAGCAGTGCCCATTGGTTTATGTACCATCTATAGCAGCTTTTTTTTTTGTGCTACATGGCAGAGCTGAATAGCTATGACAGAGACTGTATGGCCCCCAGAGCCTTAAATATTTATTATATGACCCTTTATAGAAAAAGTTTGCTGGCTGCTGGTCTCAGAATGGCAGAAACACTACTGATAATGAACAGCTTTGGGAGTAGACTCCTGTTGGAAGCGTGACTTGCTGTGAGGTTGGGTTTTATTGACCTGAGGACCTTCACTACATCGGAGCCACTAACTGATAGGCGAATCGTGCCACTTCACCCACAGCTTGTGACACTGATGGGTCTGGCCCCATCTCAACTAGTTTCTGAGATCAGTGGTCTCCAAACATTTTTTGATACATATATTCCAGTCAGAACAAGCACTTCTGAGCATACTTCCACTGTACGTTTATCAATTAATACGTGTGCTACTAATAGGTACACTATAAATCCCACGTAAACAGACATTCTAATGTTTTCTTCCCTCATTCCTGTGAGTCCCTTCTTACCATCTGTGCTATGTGTACCCCACGTCGGAGCCAATTGCCCCAGAATGTTCTCCAGTGATGGAAACATATACGAAAGAATTTGTAGGATTTTTAAGTGCAATACCAAAAACAAACCCATTCCCATCAAGTAGATTACGACTCATAGCGACCCTATAGGACAGAGTAGAACTGCCCTATAGGTTTTCCGAGGCAGTAATCCACGGCTTTGAACTGGTTTGAACCAGTTCAGTCATGGCCCATGAGGCAAAGCCAAAACAGACCCAAATTTTTAAAATTTGGGTGATCTGGAGCCATAACCAAAATGGGGGAAATTATGGGTCAAAGCCCTGGAATGGGAAACTCGGAAGAGGTATAGTGAGCCCTTTCAGGAACCTGATGTGGAAGATTGGATTACTGGCAGGACTGAGGGGAGCAACACACATTCACAGCAGTGCAGTCAACTGCCATCTTTCACCAGCGGGCAAAATCCAAAGGGCTAGGGTTTTGGTTGCTCTGCAATGCATACGCTGCCCTTGTTTTGTAAGAGGGAGATTAAGTTTCTAGCAGAGTTTTGACCTGTAGATTTTCCCATTCCAGTTATGGTTCCAGTTTACCCAAATTTTAAACATTTTTATAAATTTCGGTCTGTCCCAGTGTCACTTCTTGGCCATGATTGAAC